CTTCTGAAAGCGGGTGGAACACCGGTACTGGAAGTCCTTCAGAAGCTCTTTAATTCCGTCCTCCATGGTGGCACTACTCCAGAGGCGTGGAGCAGAAGTGCGGTGGCGGTCTTGTTCTTTAAGAAAGGCGACAACGCTCTCTTGAAGAACTACAGACCGATTTCCCTTCTGAGCCGCGTCTGCGTGCTGTTTTCGAGAGTCATTACGAATCGTCTTGCACGCAGACTCGACGACTTCCAGCCTCCCGAACAAGCCGGTTTCCGAAAAGGCTTCAGTACCATAGACCACATACATACCCTGCGGCAGATTGTACAGAAGTCTGAAGAGTACAATCTGCCACTATGCCTGGCGTATGTGGACTATGAGAAAGCCTTTGATTCCGTCGAAATTTGGGCGGTGCTGCAGTCCCTTCAGCGGTGCCAAGTTGACTGTCGGTATATCGAAGTGCTGAAGTGTTTGTACAGTAGGGCTACGATGGCTATCCGAGTACAGAACCAGAGTACGAAACCTATCCAACTGCAGAGAGATGTAAGACAGGTTGACGTTATTTCCCCGAAACTCTTCACCGCTGCTTTGGAAGACGTTTTCAAGCCACTGGACTGGAAAGGATACGGTATTAACATCAATGGCGAGTACATCACTCACCTTCGATTTGCCGACGATATAGTCCTTATGGCAGAATCGCTGGAGGACTTAAGCACTATGCTCAATGACCTCAATAGTGCCTCCCAACGGCCTATCCGTTGTTCTTAAGATGAACATGGACAAAACAAAGATCATGTTTAATGTCCACGTCACACCTATGCCGGTAGTTGTTGGGAGCACTATGCTCGAAGTTGTTGACGAGTATGTTTACCTGGGACAAATAGTCCGACTAGGTAAGTCCAACTTCGACCGAGAGGTCAATCGACGGATTCAACTCGGCTGGGCAGCGTTCGGGAAATTACGACATATCTTCTCGTCAGGTATACCTCAATCTAAAAACTAAATTGTACAACCAGTGCGTGTTGCCAGTGATGACTTACGGATCTGAGACGTGGTCCTTCACTGCTGGCCGTATGAGGACGCTCAAGGTCGCTCAGCGAGCTATGCAGAGGGCTATGCTCGGAGTTTCTCTGGATGCAGGTGGCTCAGGACCGTGCTTTGTGGCATTACTTGGGGGAGGCCTATGTTCAGCAGTGGACTTGTGAAGGGCTGTAATGATGATGATGATGATGAAAGAACATTAAACGTTCAAGGTAAAAACTTCATCCCTTTTTTTACACTAAGAGGTGGAAATAAGGTGGTCAAGTTCGGTATAAAATGACACGGAGTTGTTAGCTTCGCCGATAAAAAAAGTTTAAGTCTCAACGTGTGTGTGTATATATATAAGCACCTAAATCTATTCCCATTTAAGTACCAAAATGTAGATGCGTTATCACCCCTGAGGCTGATATTTTTTTTAAAACTTAACTTAAACCATAACTGATATTAATTTTAACAATTCCAGATAAGCTGAAAATGCTTGTGTTAGGAATGGTCCACAACAGTAGTCGAATGGCGGATTCAAACCCACGATCTTTTGAGTCCATGGTCGGCACCCTGCCACTAGTTAAGTTGCTATCCTTGCTCCTTACCCAGTCGAAGTGACCCATTCGTGAGATAACCATAACATGCCTGACTCGCTCTATCATATTATCATATTCTTTTCAACCGATTACGTTGCTGTTTTCAAGGCAAGAGTGAATAGGCTTTTGTTAAGTCGATGCGCTTCACCATCTTCGGCTGCACCATCACTTACCACCAGGTGGGATAGTAGTCAAGCGCTGGGTTAAGCGTATATTACATTAAAGTGCTTACAAATCAAAATGCAGATGCGTTGTCACAAGTGAGAACTAAGATGGAATGCCTCGTTTCCAGTAAAAAGGGTCTCCGGTTGTCTACACTCGCTATACGAAACACAGCAACATTAAGATACTATTTTACGCTGGTATTCTGTGAGAGCATAATCCTTCCTCGGTCGAGCCGACCCATTCGTGCTACAACTATACTACTAATATAACTGCAGCATGGCTCTACCACCTATAAAACAGTTTCATTATTTGTTAAGTTTTGTATCCAACGTATTGAAAAAGAAGTCACGATATTTCGATAAAGTGTGAGTGCCAAAGAATGTTTGATGGTGAGATTACGTTTTATAGCCACCGGAAATTAATATTAAGATTTAAAGTACTGCTCTCCGATATCAGAACCGCTTCTATCAAAACTTCAAGAGTGGTTGTTCTAACTTCTAAATCGTAATACACGCTTAAGCGCTTATAACATTATACAATTTTTAGAAAATCCAATTAGGAAGTAGGAAGGTGTAATCGTAGTTAGAACAGTTAGGACCCGATTTAGTTATGATGGAGGTCCCGACTGCTCTACTTCCTAAGTTGTCTACAATTTAGGACAGTGTAATCGCAACGTTACGATTTAGAACGACCAGTCGGCGCCCACACTTTGATCTAAGCAGACGTTCTAAGCAATTTCGGACGGTCGACATTTGTTTGCGATGGCGAGTGAAGCGACAGAATTGAGCAGTGGTTCGTGTGGCAGGATGCATACCGGAATAGAGGTTTTATTACAAATTATAGACCTGTATAGAGAAATACCCTATTTGTATAAAAACTACTTAAACAAAGCCATGCGTGAAGAGTGCTCCAAGGTGTAGTTAAATATTTGCAAAAACTTTTTTTCTCAATGACAAGTATTCTTTAACTCAGCATTTTCTCTTTTTTAAATCCATTTTCCCACCACGGTAAGGCAAGTCCTATTTTCTGCCTTTTGATATTACTTTTTTCTCAATGACAAGTATTCCTTAACTCAGCATTTTCTCTTTTTTAATATCCATTGTTCCCACCACGGAAACTACTTAAAACTTTTTTCTCAATGACAAGTATTCCTTAACTCAGCATTTTCTCTTTTTTAATATCCATTGTTCCCACCACGGCTGAGGCAAGTCCTATTTTCTGCTGTTTTGATAAATACGGGCGCCGTCGATACTTCTTTACGAATGCGCTTCGTCACGATTTATAATTCAATTAAGTGTAATGTAATCACTAGCTTCCAACTTAGGTTCCTAATTAGATTTTTTAAAAATTGAATAGGGTTTTGGAGCAGGGAATAATTCGTCACGCTATCCTAAAGTGTGTTGGTGAACTTTCTATGCCATGAGTTTCCTTTGTAATATTTTCTATCACCGTCTATGTACGTATATAATAATACGGGCATGAGACACCGCCCGCACGTGCATCGTTTGACTGTCCTAATTTAAGAATTTAGGTAATTTATAACTTTAACATGGGATATAGAATATGTTTACCCACACTGCCTTGTAACATGGATATAGTATGGAAGGGCGGACCCTCCAAACACAGGCGTTATTTGCTTAAATGGAGGTTACAATCTACAAGTTTTTGAAATATATTTTTTTACTTTTTTTTAAATTAATATGTAGTCAGCACTTAAAATTGAAACAACAATTTCATTGGTGCCGACAGTGATCGAACCCATCTTACTGTGTACTATGCAATTTTAAGGCGAGCGTGATACCATGAGAATGAAGGAATAGAGTCGCTTGTAAACTCCGTTGCGTCTTGTCGCTATGATTGGATTTCATTCTGAAGGATATTGCTACGTCTTTTTTTATAGGATAGGGTGACAAACGAGCACACGGTCCACCTGATGACCTGATAGTAAGTGGTTGCTGCGGCCCATAGACATCTGCATCTATCCTCGTTTACGAATCAAAATGTAAATACGTTGTCACCCAAGAGGACTAAGATGGAAAGCCTCGTTTCCAGTAAAAAGGGTCTCCGGTTCTCTACACTCACCATACGAAACACAACAGCATTAAGCTGCTATTTGACGCTGGTATTCTGTGTGAGCGTGGTCCTTACACCGGTCGAGCCGACCCATTCGTGCTACAACTATACTACTAATATAACTGCAACACGGTTCTACCACGTAAAATGTAAACGTAAAACGTCTTAATATTTATTGATCGTTTATTTTAATGTACAAGGGTACAACAACACATCTCTTTGCGTATTTTATCGCATCTATCACGGGGAGTGCTCTGAGGAATTGTTCGGATTAATCCCAGCCGCCAAATTTCGTGAACGCACTACACGGCAAACGTCCCGATACCATCCACACCATCTGGATGCTTGGCGGTCCACCACTGTACGTTTCAAAAGGAGTTTTCTTCCGCGTACAACCTCTCTGTGGAATAATTTACCACCGGTGATTTTTCCGGACCGATACGACCTGGGGACCTTCAAGAAAAGAGCTTACTCCTTTCTAAAGGGCCGGCAACGCACCTGCAATTCCCCTGGTGTTGCGGTTGATCATGGGCGGCGGTAGTCACTTAACATCAGGTGAGCCACATGCTCGTTTGCCCCCCTCTTCTATAAAAAAAAAAAAAAAAAAAAAAAAAACAAATATCACAAACGGATTTTGAGCTTAATTGGTTTTTTATTGTCGTTTGCCTGTACTGTCATACTAATCACTCGTGACTCGTACGTACCGAGAAAATAATGTTCAACCGTAGTTCAGATCAAATATTAGACGCTTAAATAGTGCACGTGTCAGTCTGTTAGTTTCAAAATAATACCATTAATGGTATTGTAAAAGGCGATAAAGGGAAACAAAGCAGGAAACGGGCAGCAGCCTCTTTTTTAACAACTAAAAACAAAAAACTGCGGCTGACAACCCGCTTGCCAAGCGTGGCAACTGTGGCAAATATCCCACCTGTGAGACAGTATATGGGAGGGCCAATGTTCAGCAGTGGAATTTAATAGTCTCTAACAGTAACGGTTTTCACCTTTAATTATATCTAATATATCTAAACAAAGAAACGTAAAATAGCTTGGAACCAGTTTTCATTACCTGCTCATCTATAAGCTATGTAGTTGTCATGAACAAGTTAAAGATATTACCCACCAGTGAGAGTATCACGTAGTCCAAGGTTTAGGAAGTCATTTGGTAGTAAGGTGGGCGGTTTCACTGTCGCTGGGCGGCGCCGGTTCGGAGACGGACACCTTGATGATGGGCGGCGGTGGCGTGCCCGGCGGTGAAGGCCGATTCATCACCGTCAGGGCGCCAGAGTTGACGTCCTCGATCGCTTTACGCAACTGATACAACAAGGATCACATCAGTATTCACATCGAAAATAGTTAGGTTGGTAAGAACACGGTGATACCCTAGTTCTGGCGCTACCAGTGCTAGTGAAAAGCCAGTATTATTACTAAAACACTGTTAAACATTCCACCTTAGTCCTCAGAGGTGACAGCGCATCTCTAGCCTTCTTTGCTCCCAGTTGGTTGTAGTCCATTTACCATTAGATGGACAACAAATTCATCGATCACATTAATTTAATAAAAGGACTGGTTTCATAAAAGATGCCCTTATATTAACATCCTTCATATTTTATAATCTATCTTATTCTCTCTTTATATATTGAAGTGGAACAACGATAAATTACAAACACCCATAATATGTTGATCGACCAATTTAACCCGACGAAAATTACGACACATCTTCTCGTCAGGTATACTCAAAACTTAAAAACGTAATTATACAACCAGTGCGTGTAAGAAACATTGGTGACCAATGGATCGGGCCGTGGTCCTTCACCGCTAGCCGTGTGAGGAAGCTCAAGGTCGTTCAGCGAGCTATGGCTCTCCAAGGCTATGCTCGGGGTTTCTCTGCGTGATACTTAAAAATGAGGATATCCGCAGCAGAACCATATTAAACGACATAACCCAACGGATCAGTAAATTACTATAAGAACAGATAACCGATATGAAAGAAAGGTTATCGAGTAGCAGTTTCGTACAGATAGGACCCCTCAATAGATGAAGTGACGACCTGGTAAGACATGCAGGAAGTTGATGGATACAGGAACGTGCTTTGTGGCATTCCATGGAGAAGGCCTATGTTCAGCCGTGGACTTGTGAAAACTGGAATGATGATGATGAATGATAAATGACACGTCTCTCATCTATCTATCTTTATATATAAAATTCCGGTGTGCAATGTGTTCGTAATTCTTCTCCTTCTAAACTGCTTTACTAATTTTGATAAATTTTTTATGGATTACTTATGGAGTTACCTGAATGGTTCTTAGTTAAAATTAAGCCCGGTAGGTGGCGCTGTTTTCGAGATGCAGAAATTATACTTGCGAAGTCATAATTAACAGTCATAGGAAACATAAATAAATTATTCAATACGAATTGTAAGCATACAAACCTCCTTCAATGAGACCACTCCAATTAAACGACCTATCGCCGTCACGTACGCTCGAGTCACGCCCAATGTCGAGAACAACGAGTGAACCTGAAACAAAAAACTTACTTATTAATCTAAATAAGGTACGTGAGAATAATATGGTCACCTTAAACTTTGCTTTCCTATGAAGCCAAAACTAGGAGGAGGACAGAGTCAAAAACACAAAGTCGTATACTGTATATAAAGTAAAAGTAAAAGTAAAATATACTTTATTGTACACCAAGGAACATATTACATTATTTATATATTTAAAGGGACATTGGTACAACAGGCGGCCTTATCGCTAAAACAGCGATCTCTTCCAGGCAACCTTACGGCAGAGGATACTATTTTAAAAGATAGCGGAAGGGGTGTACAGAATATGATAAAGAAAGATAAATAGAAGAACATAAATGATTAAAGAAAAAGAAAAAAAAATGAATGACGACAGGTAGTAACTTAAGAGGAAAGGTAATAAAGTTTTAATTTATTTTTAAATATAGGAAGAAATTTAGATTTTTTGATATGTAAGGGGAGAGAATTCCATAGTCGTATAGCGGTAACCGTAAAAGAATTAGAATAGAAGGAAGAGGAATGTCTAGGGGTACTTAGAAGGAGATTATTTTGAGATCGTAAACTACTTAAATATATAAATCGGTCTTTCAAATAAGAAGGAGTGGTCGGATTGAACAGAATGCAGTAAAGAAGATGAAGAATGTGAGTATTCCTGCGAAGACGAATCGGGAGCCACTTGAGCTTATGGCGGAATTCGGATATGTGGTCATACTTTCGTAACCCAAATATAAACCTTATGCAATAATTTTGAAGCCGCTCAAGTTTATTAAGTTGCTCGTATGTTAGGTCAAGATAACAAGTGTCCGCGTAGTCAAGGATCGGTAAAAGAAGAGACTGAGCCAGCGCAACTTTAGTAGGAATGGGGAGAATATTGCATAATCTTCGAAGTGATCCGGCAAACATTTTTTTTACTTATTTCACTAACTTGCGGTCCCCAAGACAAAGTCTGATCGAACATAATACCTAAATTCTTAACTTTGTCACTGTATGGGATAAGTGTCCCATCGAATATGATTGGCGGGAGCAGCGACAAAGTTAACCGAGAGATTAATTTCGAACTCCCAATAATAATGGCTTGAGTCTTCAATGGATTAACTTTAAGCCCAAATGAATTACACCAATGAGAAATACGAATAAGATCTTCATTAATTAATCTAATTGTATTGGGGAGATCCGCAATCTTACATTGAGAGTAGATTTGTAAATCGTCTGCATATAGGTGGTAAAGAGAAGTTATGTGGGAACAGATCGAATTGATGAAGATAGAGAACAATAGAGGAGACAACACGCCACCTTGTGGGACGCCAGCTTTGACAGCAGACCAGTCAGAAAACGTGTCTTGAATTTGTACACGTTGCCGGCGCCCTTGCAAGTAACTATGAAACCAACCAATTACTTCAGGAGATATGTTAAGAGAACTTAGGACAGCGAGTAAAACATCAAAGTCTACAGTATTGAAGGCATTACTAAAGTCAAGCAATGTCAATACTGTAACCTGCTGACTATCCATGCCCAGGCGAATATCATCAGTGATTCTAACCAAAGCCGTAGTCGTACTATGACCGGGACGGAAACCAGATTGGAATGAATTCAAAAGGTTATGATTGGACAGGAATTTGCTCAGCTGTTGGTATATTAGGCGCTCGAGTACTTTAGAGAGAAAGGAAAGGATGGATATAGGACGGTAATCCTCATATGTCGGATTAGATTTTTTAGGGAGTGGAGTTACTAGGCCGTCTTTCCAGGATGAAGGAAAAACACTGGTGTCAAGGGAACGGTTTAAAATAAGTGTAAGTATAGGAGCTAAAAGATCGAGTATTGGGATAATCATCTTACGACTAATGCTGTCAGAACCAACTGCGTCGGAAGTAATGGCTAATATATTCTTCTTAACATCACTGACAGTAACTTGGCTAAAGACAAAAGAGGAAAAATTGGGAGTTGATATAGCAGAAAGTTGAGCAAGTGTATTTTTCTTCGTAGCACTGTCTATAGTGGCGCTAGAGAGGAAATGAGCATTTAGCTTATTTAAATTCAAATTAAGAGATTCTACATTACGCTTTGCTTTTCCAACCCCTAAAGATTTGAGAAAGTTCCAAACTTTAGTTGAGTTATCTTCCTCAACAACAGATTTATGGATATGGCGTCGTTGACTATCTCTACACACCATATTGCAGCGATTTCGTGCCCTGTTATATTTCTCTCGGTTAGAATCATTAGGATTCATACGATATTTAGATTTCGCTATGTTCTTTTTTTCTTGAAGTTTTTTTATATCGGCAGTGAGCCAGGGGGCAGGAAGATGCTTCATTCGAACTGGACGAATTGGAGCGTGAATGTCATACAGTTGTGTAAGTATGCTGTTAAAAATAGATATCTGCTCATCAACCGAACCAGCATTCGCAACTACTGACCAGTCAACCTTAGCAGTATCTTCTCGTAACTTATCCAGGTCCATTCTACTAAAATTGCGCCGGAGAAGGATCCTTCGCTTAGCCTTAGGAGGTTTTAATTTATAGGACAGGTAAAGTAGATCATGGTAAGAAAAAGCGGAGGCATTGCATTGACCATGCTTTGCAACATGGTCAATGGAAGAAACAAGTATTAAATCAAGGAGAGAAGGTACACAATTAGGAAAAGCATGAGTTGCTGAAAGTGGGAGAATATGTAAGTTAATGCCATTAACAAGAGATTTCAGACGGGATGCTCTAGCATCATTTTTGAGAAGACAAGTATTGAAATCTCCCATGACAATAGTGTGATTATAAAGCGCGGAGTATTGTTCTAAAAAGAATTTCAAATGCTGAAAAATAATCAATTGTAACATTTGGACTGTAATAGACACCGAGAAGAAGCTTTAAATGTCCAAACAATATTTCGATGAATAGGTGTTCAGGGCCGGCGCTAGACACTGGCTGCGAAGTATTTAAAACTGTGTAAGGAATGTGTGATCTTAAATAAATCGCCACGCCACCGCCAGCGCGCCCAAGGCGGTCGTTGCGAATCAAGTGGAATCCGGGAAGAGAGTAAGATATTGAAGGCAAACATGGTTTTAACCAAGATTCAGAAACTAATATCGCATGTATATTTTCATTATAAAATGAGGACAACATGTCAGGATAATGTGCGGGAATACTCTGGGCATTTATATGAACAACATTAAAGTTTTTCAGAGTATCTAAGAAATGAGAATCAAGAGTTTCACTTAAAGAAGGGATGCTGTGATAACTGTCATTACTGCTCAATCCATCTGAATCACCGAGGGAAAAAAAAACTGTCGTCTAAATTATCATTATTGAAAATCATAGATATCAAACTATAAATATAATATAAATAATAAATATAAGAAAAAAAAGAAAAAATGGTTTACAAACCCACCCGCCAGTTGCAAGGAAAGATTCACTTCATAGAAGAAAAATTAATAGCATTTACAGAAAAAAAGAAAAAAAGAAAAATAATTGTAACTATAAACACACAAAATACTTATTTATATACTTAAAAATGAACAAAAATAAACAAAAATAAAAAATTATAAACAACATGGTTCTACTACACAAAAACCCTTGTAGCCACGGCAGATATTTTGTCTGTGGCTAGATGTCAAACAGTACTGCTGTCATAAAGATAAACAAAACGAACTACTTATCTACTAGTTTCAATGCAAGCTTATAAAAATAAATATGAGGGTTAAATAGTTTAAACCGTTATATAAAAACAAATCGTAAAGTTTGTAAAACTATGACATATCGTTAGTATACAAATAAAGAGGAAGATGGATGAAAATTTGTGTTTACAATGTATGTTCTAACTAATGTAATATAAACAAACAAAAAGTAAAATTATAGGAAAAGAATATTAAATGCATCGTTTACTTAGTCTTTACTATTCTTTTGGACCTCGAAGTAAGACTAGCAGTGCCTTGAGTCAGAGGCTTAGATGACAACTGAGGTATGCCGTCCAGATCAGCCTTACACTCAGCTCGATGACGCGAACCATCAGGGGCTATGATATGAATAAAGCCGTCCCTAGTCCAGCACTTACTGATACCGAATCGCTGCCTTGCTTCCATAAACAAGCCATGACGGCTCTTTGTTAAAAACTCTGACAGAGTAATACCGCTGCCTTTTAATCCAGTTTTAGAGAACCAAACCTTGTCATGCATTGCAGTGTCTGTAAATTTCACCAATATTGGCCTGGGTTTCTTGCCAGAGGGACGTCCCATGCGATGAGAAGTTTTAATGCAAGCTGCAGAAAAGGCAGTCACACCAAGATGTTCGCCCACAATGTTACAGACCTGCGCAGCAGTATCTTCTGTTTTCTGCTCGCTGACTCCATGGAACAATAGCATTTTGCGCCTTCTACGCATCTCCTGACGATCAAGCTCAATGCTAAGGAATTCAACCTGTCTCTGTAGGGTGTTCATTGCAGAGAGCACAAAGCTCCTGAAACTGTTGAACTCTGTTCCCAGGGTTGTGTTAGTTGTTGGTGTACTTTCAAGGCCCTGTTGAAACTCACTCATTTTCTGCTGGAACATTTCTGCCAGAGCATTGAGTGATTCTTTAACTGAGTCCATAGTGATGTGTAGTGACAGTGCAAATAAACCAAAAAATAAGTTTATGAAGTGATGTTAATTTTAGAGACTTACTAGGGAAATACTGTCCGGTGGGTACTATAAGTCACATTTATTAATTATATTATTGAAAAAGTTGTAAATAATACTGTGAAATTAATTTTATAACTTTAAAAATTAAAGAGCTCTTATCAAAACGTGTTAACTTTTTCACACCTACCCTCGAGAAAAAAGTATATACTAATATGTTAAGAAAAAAAAATAGCAAACAAGCTTTGACCATGATTAGAAACACTGTCAAAAATCTACTTAAAAAAATAACTACACTGCACCATACTAAAATCGACTAAAATATTAACTATAATATCGACTGTCAAAATGGCGTCGATAAAGCAGCGCTTAAGATTCGGGATAGTATAAGTTTACATGAACAAACAGTGCAAAATAACCTTGTTGACGTTCATACCGACAATGTGTAGTAAAAACATACATATGTTTGTTGCCAGTCGCCACAGAATATTAAAATATTACTAATAAATATTCTTTGATAGATTGACCAAAAAATGAGCTGCGAATTTTATGGAGTGTATATCAAGGAAAAAAACGTTTATTTTGTATTATTATACGTATTTTGTTCTCTACATATTATTCGATGTATACGTCATACGTGGTAGAGCCACGCTGCGGCTATATTATGGTTGTAGCACCAATGGGTCAGCTCAACCAAGGAAGGACCACGCTCTCACAGAATACCAGCGTGAAATAGCACCTTAATGCCGGAGACTCTCTTAACAGGGAATAAGGCATTCCGTCTTAATCTTCAGGGGTGGTAACTCATCTAAATTTTGAATCTTAATCGAGGATAGACGTAGATGTCTATGGGCCACAGCGTCCACTTACCATTAGGACTGTGGACTGTGAACTGTGTGCTCGTTTGTCACCCTTGTTATAATATGTGTCCACAGGCTTTAAGCAGCCACTTACCAACAAGTGGACTGTTGGCTTGTTGGTACTGTTGTTATTGTTACAGTCAATTAAAGTCCACTGATGACTATATTGCATCACAGGGATTGCATCATAAATTGCATCGTTTGCCATAGTTGCTATACTTGCAAAGCGGATTGATAAATGCAGTTTTCTTTTAATTTTTAGTCGCTATCAGGAAGAGGCTGCTGCCCATCTCCTGACTTGTTCCCTCCGTCGCCTCTTACGACACCCACGGGATGATATGGTGTAGTGGATATTTTTACACCGTCACTACACGTTTCTTTACCATTCATCAAATTTCAATTAAATATTTTAGTTTTCTGACATGAAATGCATTGCAATGCATATTGGATACAGATTGTATTATTAAAAAAAACATCTTACCTTAAGTAAAGATGTCCTCTCGACCAGCTGGAATGGCGCAGGGTCGATATGGCAGATGTACAGGTTCTCGTCCTCGTAATCAAAATCGTCTGGATGCTGCAAGTCAACAATAAGCATTTAATTTTTTTTATATCTCTTTTCGACCACGGATAACGATTGGTCGAAGTGAAAAGAAAGAACATTCACAATTCGCGCTAAACTGTCAATCATAAGTCATAGGTTACAAAGATTTTGATCGATAAAAAATATGATTGCAATCTTTAACACTGACGCAACTCGGGTCAAATGACCGAATCATTCCCTGTTGACAACGTGTCTACAATGAAGATAGCACATACCATATCTCTCTTCCTCGCAATCTGCAGCATCCTGTCAAAGTCAATCTCTTTGGCCATCTCTAGCTGCTCCCAAGCCTTCTGGTCTTCGGGAGACATGTCACAGACGCGTTCACGGGGCTGTAAGCAATTGAATTCGGAAGTTATGAAACGGAAGTTTATCAACCAAATTGGCGATATATTGAAAATGAGGCAAATCAAGAGTACTCTTAACAGACGAGCATGTATAATAAATTTTATAATATTAAAGAGGAGGGAAAAGTGTGTGGAACATCTCAAATTTGTAGTTTAGTACACAATCGTACGAATGGCATAACTTCATTCCTCGCTCTCCATTCCACGATCGTACAACTAGACGCTCGGCCAGTTTCCACCTTTGCGTTGTCGACGTACCACGCATTCGAACCAAACCAAACGGTTTGCTACATCGCAATCAGCTAAGGAGTGGAATAAGTTGCCAGCATCTGTGTTTCCATCCGATTACAATGCGGGTGTCTTCAAGGCAAGAGTGAATAGGCTTTTGTTAAATCAGTGCGATCACCATCTTCGGCTGCATCATCATACATGACATGACATGACATAAGCTGGTATAGTAATCAAGCGGTGGTTTAAAATAGTGACAAAAGTCTCTACCGATTCTAAATGACAGTCGTGTAAGATAATTTATTCTATTTCTAGAATTTTATACAAAAGTAATTTTTCAACCGCCTTCAAAAAAAGGAGGAGGTTCTCAATTTAACTGTATTTTACATGTGTTACCTGAGAACTTTTTCTAGGTAAACCGATTTTGATGTTGCTTTAAAATTCCCATATAAATTTGATCAAGATCTGATCAGTAGTTACGAGTTAGCTTTATTAATGCGTATTTAATTAACTTCGAATACATTGATGATGTTCTCATTGAAGTCGGTTGTACAAAATATTTAATTTTACCACCTATTACTAAATGTTAGGGATTTTTTCTATCTAGGAATCGGTCTAGATTGGTTCTTTTAGTTAATTATTTAATTATTATAATAGAAACCGCACAGCCTATAATTATGTTACGAGCTTAGGATTCGTCACAATAAAAACTAGATACTAGATGGCGCTAGAAGAGTTCTAAAGATCTTGACACTCCTATTTCTGATACTTGATACCAGATGGCGCTAGTGCCATCAACTGTGGCGCGCACAATTATATTAACTCCCTATACTTTAGCTGGAACACACAGGTGCTTATTAAAAATATTAACCCTTCAATCCCCATAAAATCCCATGGAGTCGCATGCGTCCGTCAAATCCCGAGCGGTCGCATGCGACCGCATCCACCCACAGCATTTTAAACCATTAAAACTTATATTTAGAGACTACTTTTCTAGGAAGAAGTTTGGCATTATAAAATCTATATAAAATTCTCTATCCTGTGGTCTAAACAAAAGTCAAGTTTTACTTCATTATAAAAAGACTTTTTTGTATTCTGATAACAAAAAAACGGGTACATATCAAGCGGATGTCAGCAGCGTGAAAATCACTATTATTTCTATATTACTTGAAATTATTTACGTAAAAAGATAAATTATATTCACACAAAAACTTTCATACCAATTTTACAATAAAATACTAGAAAAATCCAAAAATCAACACAATAACATTCACACGAAAATGGCGTACCATATTAACGTAGATTATAAATAAATATCCATAGACTAAGTGATTTTTTATTCCACTAGAGGATAGAAAATTTCATATTGATTCTATAATGCCAAACTTCTTCATAGAAAAGTAGTCTCTAACCATAAGTATTTATGGGTTAAAGTGCTGTGGGTGTGTGCGGCCGAATAAGGTCACTTGGTATTTGACGGAATACCGCCGCGACCGAATTCGGCCGCTTGGTAAGTAAGAGGTTAAGTATTCGTACACCTCTCGTGATCGTTGCGCAACAGTGAGATATTACTAAACTGTAATTTTATGTAAGTGTCAGTATTAATTACCAGTTGCACTTTCTTGTTGATGGACGGACTACGTGGCACGCCCGTGTTTATTTGGTCCGGTAGACCTCCTTCCACATCTTGCAGCAAGGTGGACCTCTTGAAGATAGCTTCGAACGCTGCGCGGATTCTACGGAGTGAGGAAAACGGTATTACAATGAAGAATGTTGGTACAGTCCACGTGAGCTGTGGGGGATAAGCGCTGATTTCCTTCTTTTTTTATAGAATAACTAGCACTAAGCTAACGAGCACACAGTCTGATGGTGGACTGTCTGCTCGTTAGTCACCCATCTACATTTATCCTCGATTAAGAATCAAAACGCAGAATCGTTTCCACTCCTGAGGATGAAGATGAAATGCCTTGTTTCAAGTAAAAATGGTCTCCGGATCTCTACATCCACCACACGAAACACAGCAGTATTAAGCTGCTACTTTAAGTTGGTATTCTGTGAGAGCGTGGTCCTTCCCCTGTCGAGCCGACCCATTCGTGCTACAACCATAAATATAGCTGCAGCGTGGCTCTACCACGTATAATTGGTCTAGTAGTCCTAAACGGTCGAGCCAATATCAATTATTGGATTATTCTGTCAAGAAATTCTTAATAGCAGGCTGGAGTCAGAAAGTTGACGGTGTTTTACCATTGAGCCTGGGAAGGCACGTAAAGCTTTTGGTCTTGCGCCTGATCTCTCTCAAGATACCCACAGACGATACGTCCATTTAGCATACTTCCAAATGGATGCACTCCAAATAAAAGTGTATCCAGATACGGTACCATTGACGATACTTCCGTTTGGACGCATAGCGTCACTTCGAACTTGTCAGTCGCACGGAATGTAAATAAATAACAATATGGATAATAATACATTACTGGTGACTGCAGCAGCGTGTATTTCATTAAAAAGACAAAAAACCTAAACGGGGCAATCCATCGTAGTCTTCAAAGATGACAACGCATCTATATTTTGATTCTTAATTGAGGATACAATCACACAATATAGTATAGAAAAAAAAAACCCCCACCCCGAAGGCCGCCCCCAACTAAATGTCTATGGGCCATAGCACCCACCACCAGGTGCACTATGTGCTAGTTTATCACTCCCATTCTAGATATGGTATAGGTTACGGTGGAGCGATATCGTTGACTGAGATAGAAATTAAAGAAATCAACATATAGTGGATATTATTCATTATAACTATACGTGGTAGAGCAACGTTGCTATATTTATAGATATATTATGGCTGTAGCACAAATGGGTCGGCTCGAACGTAGTAGGACCACAATCTCACAAAATAGCATAAAATAGCAGCTTAAATCTGCTGCGTTTCATATGCTGAGTATAAAGAACCAGGGGTGACAATGTATTTACATTTTGATACTTATTCGATGACAAATTCAGTCTATGGGCTACAGTATCAATTTAAATCATCATGTGGACTGTGTACTCGTTTGTCACCCATATCACAGACCATAGTTTACACAATAAAAATATATTTAATCCAATACACAGTTTATGTTTGACAAACAGAGCACATGTACCACCATCAACACCAAAACTTAATGTTTTGCTGGCTGACACAATAACGTCCAAAAAATGGACGCCGTTTCGCCTACTCACTGACGATTCGGACGACTTCCATTTGGCGTAGCGCACGTTTCTAACATTGACGGACGGCCGCGGATGACGTCCATTTGGACTGGACGCATGGATTTCAATCCGTTTGGAAATCCACAGCTGGATGAATTCCATTCAAATGAAATATATTTTTACCATTCACGGAACGATTTTGGACGATTACCACTCCGTTTGGATTAATGGACGTATCGTCAGTGGGCACCTTCAGGTCGTTTCGGATTACCATCCAATCGGACTATGAGAGTGAGGCCGCCATGACTGGAATTCGTTCTGGAGGACAATATTATTAAGCATTTACCTTAAAATATTACGGTACATAGCCCCCCCCCCCCTCCTATAGACTGCATTATGGAAGAGATGTTTACCATAATCGACACACTTAGGGTTGTGGGACCTTAATTTTTTCTATTCAGCTGTTATTAGAAAGATGCTCTTGCACCTGTTCTGTTTCTCTCTGGCGCCTCTTACTTCACCCACGGGACGATATGGGGTAGTAGATATTCTTACACCGCCACTACATGGATATTAGTATATTAGTATACATTTATTTAAATATTAATATAATACATTCGAGTGTGCGCACGAATTGCACTACATAATTTCTCCCTCTACGTTCTCTCCCCTTTTTTGTCGAGATACCACGCATTTGAAACAAATGATTGGCTTCACAGTTTATAATGATTATAAGAAAGCAGTAGGCAGCATCTATATTTATCTGATCTGATCATATCTGATATGATATCTGTTTACAATGTAGGTGTATTTAAGGCATAAGTGAATAGGCTTTTGTTAGATTAACTTAGTCCGCTTTACCATCTCTATCTGCATCACCACTTACCACCAGATGGCATTGTAGCTAAGTGCTGTCTTAGGATATTTAAAAAAAAAACATTATCATTCATATCCAATGTTTTGGAGACATGAGTCTTAACTATGGTTGTCATTTTTTTCAATATATTCAAGACTACTGTAAAAATATAGAAGATGGCGAAAAAAAATATAACATAAATGTTTCAAACAATTGTATTATTTTTACAGAAATGATTTTGCTCCTTTGCGTTTTTATTAACAGCCTCACATACGCACTCTTTCATTCATTACTGATTATCTGAAGCCACCTGCAAAAGACTTTTACCGTGGATCTATTTACGGGCTACGGGCTACGGGCTCTTACGGGCTTTAGCTTCATTTTCTTCACAATTTTTATCTGTCTGTCTGTGTATTCAAGATTCACGCAAAAACTACTGAACAGATTTCCATGAAATTTTGTGTATAGGTAGTTAGGGACCTGGGGCGACTTATAGGCTACTTTTTATCCGATTATATGCTATATAATGATAAATATTATTATGCTAGGAGATTTTAATGGAAGGGTTGGGGTGAGGAGGCTTGGTTATGAAAGAATATTGGGAACGTTTGGTGATGAAAGTATAAATGAGAATGGTGAAAGTCTCCTCACCGTATGTATGGAAAAGAATCTTTTTGTGACGAACACTTGCTTTCGCCACAAGAGGATTCACATGTATACTTGGGAAAGAGGTGACGATAGAAGCATGATAGATTTCATAATTGTGGATGAAAGATTGAGGGGCGCAGTGGTGGATACAAGGGTTTACCGGGGTTTTAACGTAGGAACGGATCATTATTTGGTTTTATGCCGAATTAATGGTCTATTCAGGCGTTGGCACCATCGATCATCTGTGTTTACCACTGCGTTACAGCGTATTAGAACAGAAAGGTTACAAGATGAAGGTGAGAAAAACAAGTTCAAATGTAGACTGAAAAAAAATATAAGTGGTTTGGATGAATTATGTATGAAGGAGACTTGGAGAATGTATGGCAAAATGTAAAGAAAGGTTTAGTGGATGCAGCTACCGAAGTATGTGGTGTTAGTAAGAGAAAGAATGAAAGGAAAAATAATACGTTATGGTGGGATGATGAGGTACGTATGGAAGTTGAAGCAAAGAAGAGAGCATGGCTAGATTTACTAGCAACAAAGGCTGGTAATTCTAGCGGTACGAATGATGATATTGAAAGAAAAAGGGCAGTCTTTAGACATCTTAATAAGAGAGTAAAAGAAGTAGTTGAAAGAAAAAAGCAAGAAAGAACGGATAAGAATGATGGAAGAATATCGGATAACTTCCAGGCAAATATTAAAATGTTCTGGAAACTTGTAAGAACTGCCAGGGGACATTCGAAACAGCCTATGATAAATGCTATAAGAGACGAGAATGGCTATATTCTGAATGATGAAGTTTTGAGTTTAAAGAGATGGAAGGAATATTTTGAAAGCGTGTTTATGAGTGAGAAGACAACGTGTGTACTAAGTGAAGTAGAAATTCCGAAAGAAGAGGAAAGAGGTAGCGAGATAAGTATAGGTGAAATAATGAAAGCAATGAAAAGCATGAAAGCAGGTAAGGCTGCTAGAGTTTCACTCGAAATGCTAAGGGCTGGAGAGGAAGTGGTGGCAGGCCTGCTGCACACCTTGTTTAATATATGCTGGGAACTGAAGCGGGTACCGGTAGACTGGTGTAAAGCCGTGATAGTCCCAGTATATAAGGGAAAAGAGTCGCAGCAGGACTGTAAAAACTACCGTGGCATCAGCCTTTTTAGCATTGTGGGAAAACTGTAAACTGTATATATATGAAAGGGTCATGAAAGAAACTGATGGAAAAATTTGGGATGTGCAAGCGCGATTTAGAAAGGGAATGGGATTTACAGATCAAGTCTTTTCCATGCGCATGATCGCGGAGAAGTTTTTGGCCAAAAACCAAAAGGTTTTTTGTGCGTTCATGGACTTGGAAAAGGCCTATGACAGAGTGAATAGGGATGTGCTATGGCAAACACTGAAGTCATTTGGGTTGGGCGCTGGCTTGATACAGGCATTGAAGTCCCTTTATAGGGACTTTAGTGCTTGTGTTAGGATCAACGGGGTCTACTCGGACTGGTTTGACATACATAAAGGTGTCAGACAGGGCTGTGTAGCTTCCCCGTGGTTGTTCAACCTATTTATGGACAAAAAAAAATAAAAATATAAATTTCTTTGCAACTTTCCGCTAAACATATAAAATGATGTGTCTTACCTGGATTGAAGCGCACCTCCCGCCCTCCCTCAATTGCATATACTAACTCCGTCACCACTAGACCAAGCACCACTACTCTCAACACCACTATTCCAGGCAAGACACACCATCGACGATAATACGACACGTGTTTCGCCTCTACACGAGGCATCATCAGGTAATATAGACTCTACGGCGGCTGACCGCTAAGTGAGCGGCGAGTCGAAACAGTTGCTATTTATACACGCTGACACAATCGCTGACCAAAAGTAGCGAGTGACCGCGTTGTGCGATAACAAACCTGCCAACAGTTATTATTATTGTTATGATTATTTTTAAATACTATTATTATTGTTTTGAGTGACCGCGCCGTGCGATAACAAATCTTATTATTATTGTTATGATTAATATTTTAAATACTATTATTATTATTTTTTATTGATATTATTATAATTATTTATTATTATAAATCTTAAAATTATTATTAAAGATTGGCCTTAAAGATGTTTAACAAAGGTGAATTAGAAACATTTGTTTGTTCATTCAGCAGTGTATAATTACCATTATTACTTTTTAAAATCTCCAACTGCTCCAGCACACACAGTCGCAGCCCCTTATTACAGGTATGTAAGACTTCAAAGGAATGGTCGCTAGCTAGGTTGTGTCCAGTGTCCAAGAGATGTTTAGCAAAATGGGATTTATCAGGATTGCAATTTCTGTACGCGGCCATATGTTCTTTATAGCGCGTCCCGAAATTGCGACCAGTCTGACCCACGTAAACGGCGTGGCATTCGTCACAAACAAGTTTATAAACACCCGATTTTTGACTAATATTTAACTTATCTTTATTATTACAAATATTCCTAAGCGAATTGTTTGTTTTGAATGCCACGTTAACGCCGTTTTTCTTAAGACTAATAGTCTTAAGAAAAACGGCGTAACCCTATAAAGTGGGTGCTTGAGGATTCATTGGAACAAGATTGCTCCGAGACAAGTTGTGATCGGGAAAAACATATGACGACTTTTGTATACATACTTTATTTTGCTAATAAATAATGCTAAAAAATTAAACTTCCTCCTTCGGGAGAAATCTGGTTTCAACCCCACTTACAGCCTTAAAAATAGTTTATAACTTCTTTCCAAAATAAAAAATTCGTATTCCACCGAAATCTACGGTATTGTTGTCTTTAGACGTTGATAGTCTTTTCACAAACGTCCCATTCCCTGACTGTTTGCGTATACTCTAATTAGATAGATAGATAAGATTTGTTATCGCACGGCGCGGTCACTCAAAACAATAATAATAGTATTTAAAAATAATCATAACAATAATAATAACTGTTGGCAGGTTTGTTATCGCACCACGCGGTCACTCGCTACTTTGGTATGGAGCGATTGTGTCAGCGTGTATAAATAGCAACTGTTTCGACTCGCCGCTCACTTAGCGGTCAGCCGCCGTAGAGTCTATATTACCTGATGATGCCTCGTGTAGAGGCGAAACACGTGTCGTATTATCGTCGATGGTGTGTCTTGTCTGGAATAGTGGTGTTGAGAGTAGTGGTGCTTGGTCTAGTGGTGACGGAGTTAGTATATGCAATTGAGGGAGGGCGGGAGGTGCGCTTCAATCCAGGTAAGACACATCATTTTATATGTTTAGCGGAAAGTTGCAAAGAAATTTATATTTTTATTTTTTATTATAATGGATTTCCGCAAAGTAACGCCTGATTCTATCAATTATTTATGGACAGTTGTTTGCAAAATTTGAAAGTTGAAGAATGCGGATTAAGAATGGGTGAGTTAACCATCAAATGCCTTTTGTACGCCGATGATCAAGTTATCCTTGCGTCGTCGGCGGCCGAGTTGCAAATGATGGTTACATTAATTAACACATCATTAAAAGAAAGGGGTATGAAAGTGAACGCAAGTAAGACGAAGGTTATGGTTTTTGAAAGAGAAAAAAGTAAAACGATTTGTGAAATAAGAATAGAAGGAGAGTTGATCGAGCAAGTAGATGAGTTTGTATATTTAGGCTGCGTATTAAGCAGGGATGGGAGATATGATAAGGATAGAGAACGACGAGTGAATGCGGGAAATAGAGTAAATGGGGCCCTGCACTCTATTGTAAAGAGTCAAAATGTGTCGAAAAAGGCACGTATGGCAATTCACAATGCTGTGTTGGTCCCTACTTTAACGTATGGTAGTGAAAGTTGGGTGTGGCAGAAGAAGCACGAGAGTAGAATGAACGCAGTAGAAATGCGGTCGTTAGGGCTGAATCTTAATGACAGGGTAAGAAATTGTGTAATAAGAGAAGAGTGTGGTTTGCAAGATGATGTTGTGACCAGGATTAAGAAAGGAATGCTTCGGTGGTTCGGTCATGTGGAAAGAATGAATGAGGAAAGAGTGACAAAGAAAATTTATGTTGCAGAAGTGAATGGCAGAGTCGGAAAGGGACGTCCTAGGCGAAAATTTATCGACCAAATTGGCGATTTATTGAAAACGGGCCAAATTAGGAGTACCCTTAACCGACGAGCATGTATGCGTAGGTGTATGGATGTGAAGGAGGCGAGAGAGGTGTGTCAGGATCGTGCCAAATGGAAGTCTGTAGTCTCTGCCTACCCCTCTGGGTGACAGGCGTGAGTGTTTATGTTTTATGTTTATAAATCTCTCGTGGTCTGTTTAGGCCGCGAGCTGATTAAAAAGGAAAAGGCAACGGTGATGGGGATGACGATGATGGTTTATTATTTGGCATTGTTACCAATCATCATGTCGCCTCTGTAGTGATATTTGAGCTATCTAACCGCCGCGCGAGTGGGGTACCCTGGCTGGTTAGCTCGTGTCAGTCGATGATTTATCTTAGATTACCCCAGGATGCCTATTTCCAGCCGTTGATTAATGAATAAATGTTTTAAGGGAGATGATGCTGTTTGTTGCTCTTGTCCTGTAGTGTCTTACGACAGTCTTGAAATTAAATGGAGAAGTGGATTCCTGAATTCACCATCGCCACTACACGTTATAGTCAGCCTTTATAAAAATACTGTAGAGTTGTCTGCTATTTTATATATTTCTAAGATATTGTCCGGGCCATTTTTAGTGCCTGCTAAAAGCTCTTAGAACTGGAAGGTAGTTTTAATATAAACACGCGCTTACTAGACCAGCGGTCTACTCTCAACGGAGTCACTTGACTTGGCTCAGCTGGTGGACACGTCCCCCCGACAAAGCCACTTAGCTTGGCTGAGTAGGTGCCTCCCCCAGACCCTCCCGCCCCTCCGTTCTGTTACCTGGTCTCGGCGCCGGTGACGGTGGAGTAGACGGAGGGCTGCGGCGAGGCGGCGGTCAGCCCGCGGCCCAGCGTGAACGAGTTCGTCTTCTTCAGGATCGACTTCGGCCGGAACAGCTGCCCGGGCGCTGCACCAAAACCGCGACAACGAACGTTACAATTTATTTATTTATACCTTAGATTGTGTTACGCAATATAATGCTTAGTCAGTAAAATTGACACGAATATTAAACTTAATATATATAAATTACATGTCACGTTGTTTGTCCGGGATGGACTCCTAAACTACTTAATTGATTTTATTCAAATTTGCACACCGTGTGCAGTTTGGTCCAACTTGAGAGATATAATAGTTTTTTTGCCCATGAGTGGCCCACAATTTTTTTTTTGGGAATTTAAGGATTTTTAATAGGACATGACAAAGGGTCGTCGAAAAAGGTAGAACAACGTCTGCCTGGCAAGCTGGTATATTAATAAAACATGATATCAATAATTATAGACCTACTGCACTCTTATTTATTTATTTAATTCATTGCACACCCTCCAAAAATTACAGGTTATATGTACAAAAGAAGTATGCAATGGGCGGTATTGTTGCTGATGACAGGGGTAGGGCAAATTGGTGTGATACAAAAAAAGAGGTAAAAAATAATACACACACACGCACACGCACACGCGCACGCGCACGCGCGCGCGCGCACCGGCGCGCGCGCGCGCACAGTCATACTAACATAGCTAAAAGCACTTAGACTTCTATGATAAAATCTTCCATTACATTTTCCATTCCTATATCCTTTTCCCAGCATTCATTCTCCGGTTTATGAACATGTTTTACGAAATTTGCCCAGTTTTCTGCTGTAAGTGTCGAAATTGCATTCGTTATTACCTCTTTCAGTTTTTTCAAACACAAATCGCTCTTTATGTTGTGTTCCCTTACGAAACGTTTAATGGCGGCACGGGCTAATTCAACAAGATTTAAATCTCACACATATGGAGGTAGTCTTATAATGTCATGGCCATGTACTTTAATTATATTTTCAATTTTATAATTGATATAAACGGGTCTGTATTGTTCTATAATTTCAAATAAAACTGGTTTCCTGAGACCGGACCTGTCGCAAGAAATGTTATTATCCTTCAACCATATTATCATTGCAAATTTTATCGAACTTTTTGTTGGGGACCTACTTAGCTTTGTTCTTAGCAGTGTGATGAATCACTGTACAATCAAAATTTTCAACACAAAATTTTTTGCCTGTCTTTGTGAGCGTCTTTAATTGTTTATCGGATCTAGCGGGATCCGGATTTTAATTCGGATTTTATTCTCGACTAAGTTCTTTTCGATAAGCCGGTGTAAAACGCAGCCTATCCAATGTCCGTTTGACAAGGTATTTATAATAATTGTTTTCTCGTTCACTGGCACAATAACAATTAACAATAATTATTGTTTTTTTTTTTGCTCTAACATGTGATGAGGAAGCGACCGAAGTCATTTTAATACACAACAACAAAGAACAATGTGAACGAGATCGAAATCGATAAACGCGGCCGATGTGGACCCGTGCAGCGCTAAAACTAAGATGGCGGGGCAGCGTACGGGCATGCGGGTATCCTGTCATGTCGACCTGTCGTGTACTGTATTGGCCTGTATTCACTTTGATTAGTGCGAGTGCAGGTGGTTAGTAATTGCGGGTTATTAGTGCAGGTGTGTAGTGTCCAATTCTATTCAGTGGCTGTGTTGAGTAAATTCAGTTGTGTGCCGTTGACCAGCAAGTACTCTGTTTAACTTTCATAACCTCTTGCGAATATGTAGATCTCAAGTGTCTTACTTTAGTATAAACTTCTTTACTTCCAAACCCCGGTGTGTTCATAGCTTCACTTATACGTAGCAATGCCACATCTGGGGCTCCTTTAATTTTGCAGTTAGGGTATTTACTATTGTAAAAACATTCATTTTTTAGATACTCCTGCACAAATTTATAGGTTATGTCTTCGGTCCACTTTGCCATTTTTTTCTAACACAAGCTAAAGGCTAAACACTAAACTCTGCTGACCAGACGTGTTTAGTGGCAGACATGCTGCGAGGGAGGGGGAAGGGAGGACGCACGGGACGGGGACACTCGCAGTCCACTCGCAAAAAAAAAATAGAACAAGCTTCTAATCACTTTACTACGCAGATTACAAATCACCTGCACTAATCAATCGCTGTCCACACGTGTTTACTCCTAATCACTAAGCACCTATAATAATCACCTGCACTAATCACTAATCAAAGTGAATACAGACCTTTAGCCACAGAATACAAGCTAGTAGTATCAAATAAAGCAACAAAAACTATAGATGCAAGCATCCTTTGAAAATGTTCTATTAAGTGTACCACAAAGGAGTATATTAGGATCCATACTGTTTTTAATCTACATTAACGAGCTCCTCAATATAATTAAGCATCAATACGTGATGTATACTAACAATGCAACAATAAAAGTCCTAATAAGAATGATTTTAATAAAGAGTTTAACACTACATTAAGTACCGCTACATGTTGGCTAAAAGGAATAGGTCTAAAAGTAAACCTATAAAAGACAAAGCTCAAGCAAGAAACTATGAAAACAAATTTCTTGCACTGAATATAATCGAAGGTAATATAAAAAAATCGAAAGTAGACCATATAAACTTTGTTGGTGTGAAAATTGACGTTTAAATTGGAAAAGTCATATTGAGAAGATAAATAAACAAATATCTGGCTATTGTTACGCTTTCTCATTTCTAGTCGAAATTTAATCCAACATTACGACACGTTTCAGTTTATTTTATTTTTCAGTTTATTTAATTTATCCATTGTTAACATATGCAGTTACATATTGTTAACATATGCAGTTACATATTGTTAACATATGCAGTTAATATTGTTAACATATGCAGTTACTTATTGTTAACATATGCAGTTACATATTGTTAACATATGCAGTTACATATTGTTAACATATGCAGTTACATATTGTTAACATATGCAGTTACATATTGTTAACATATGGAGATACTTATTGGGGTAACACAACAGATTTCCAATCGACTTTTGTTTTACAAAAAATGTCTATGGATAGTAAATAATTTGCAAACTACTGACTCTTTGAGAATCATATTTGAAGATAAAGGTTTTCTCAACCAATCAAATATCTACATTCTAGTTATGCCTTTTAGTTAAAAAATAATTTGGAATGTTTTGATTAAATGTCGTATTCAAAAACAAATATTAGAACTAAATATAAATAAAATCTGAGTTTATTGTGTATTAATAATGTAATTTATCATAAGAGTATTTATGTCACCGAAATACATATATAAAATCACTTACCTAAAAACACAAAAAGCTTTATTAAAAAAGTTTAAAATATTATTAAAAATGGCATATCAAAAGGTTTATTTATAATATAAAGTTTTGTGCATGTTGTTAATTTTATCTGAATTTTACATAGGTTAATTTATATATAGTTATTGCATTAAAGGTTAACTGTTGATATTAAATTAAACTTGCGTATAGCTCAGCAATAAAAAACTATTTTAAAATTAAATGGTTTATATATTAATAAAACAAATTCTATGTATGACATAGCTTTTGCGGATTCGGACATAGAGGCTGTTTCATTAAAGACTTAGGTGTAGTAACTTTAACGGTTAAAACGTAAAACATACCTGGTATCAAACCGCCTCGATCGTTCGTGGTGAGTGAGGAACCCCTCACCATGCCAGTGCCTGGCACCTGAAGCATATCTGGTGCTGGGGTCACCTGAAGAACAAAAATTTCCTTAATTATTTATAATTTTACAATTAAATTTTAAGGCACTTAGTAGTGTCTAAATGATATGATGGGAGACAGATAAATTTATGTTGGGCTTTACCAAAGGTTTGTTTTTTAATACAAGTCATGATGAGATGCGAACATTTTTAATGTAGTCAGCTCTTGATCTATTAAGTCTCATGGTGTCGCAATCACTTTGACATCCAGAGATAGAGACAGCATGAGATTAGACGCTCAAGAGCTGATAAAAATATAAACGAGTGTACAATAAAAGAAAGAAAGAAACGTCGTTTTTATACGTGGTAGAGCCATGCTGCAGTTATATTAGAAGTATAGTTGTAGCACGAATGGGTCGGCTCGACTGGGGAAGGGCCACGCTCTCACAGAATACCACCGTGAAATAGCAGCTTAATGCTGCTATGTTTCGTATGGTGAGTGTAGAGAACCGTAGTCCCTTTTTACTGGAAACGAGGCATTCCATCTTAGTCCTCACGGATGACAACGCATCTGCATTTTGATTTGTAATCGAGGATAGATGTGGATGTCTATGGACCGCAGCAACCACTTACCATCAGGTGGACTGTGTGCTCCTTTGTCACCCTATCCTATAAAAACCAAAAAAAAAAATCGTAGAGCGTAGGGCGGTGTTACCTCGAAGCGTGAGGGCCTCCGCAGTCGCTTGGCCTCCTCGTGGCGGCGTCTTTCGCGCTCGCGCTCCTGCTCGCGCCAGCGCGCCGCCACCTGCAAGCGCCGCTCGCGGCCCACGGCGCGCTCGATCACCTTTACCAGCTCCCACCGGTGGATGGAGCCCAGCAGCACCATCGACGCCGGCTGCTCCACCAGCGGGAAGCTCTTGATCGTCTGCACGCCCCAAACTGAACTTACTCTATAAACCCTCGAATAAACTCCAATGGATTGATAACTAACAGTCAGCCACCGCAGAATCTACTTCACAGGATGCCTCGTGTAGAGGCGAAACACGTGTCGTATTATCGACGGTGGTGTGCCTTTCCTAGTGTAGTGGTGTTGGGAGTAGTGGTGTTGGGAGCAGTGCCAAAAGCGAGGTAGGTGCTCTTCCTAGTACATTTCATTTCATTATGCAATTTAAGCAAATTAATTTTACAACATATGATTAAAAAATTCTTACATCATATACCCATATTTAGCCCAGAGGAATTAGGCGCTCGAAATGTTCTTCAACGCCCTAGCGACTGCCCCGGTAGAGGCCTACGTAATTCATGTACCTACTCTAATTTCAGAACCACCCGCACGGAAGCACAAGCCGAGTAGTTCCCTATCCTGTGGTAATTTATGGAACCATAGGACTTCGGTCTTGTTAGGCGCTCTATTTCTAAACCTAACTCGTAGATTTTGGCGACAAAGACTTCCACCCCAAGCTTAGCGAGCTCCTTGACGCTCTCGAAAGTTATCGGCACATACGATATTTACGCCAGCGCAGCGGGAAGGTCGACTCGCAGAAAACCTAACCTAACCTAACCTAAGATTAAATTTTATCATAAACCTAAACAAGTTCAGGCTTTTGACCAGTTCAGGCCAGTTTGTCACTACAATCCCATTTAATGGTAAGAGATGATAAAAGGTTACTTCGCAAATTGTACCATCTTAGTGTAACTAAATACTATAACCCCTCGAATTTAGTAGATTGGATTATAAGCTTTTTACGCGAGTCCGCAAACGCGACCTAAATTACACATTTTTTGAAGCTTATTAAAAGCCAGTGCACAATTGCATCTGATAATATGCACTATCGCACTATCTTAGCGTTACAAAAGTCTATAGTGATATAACTCCTCAAATATAGTGTAATGAGTTTGTAGCTATTACGTGAATTTGCAAACGAATATTTTTTCCTTATTGTTAGGCGCAAGTTACCACTAGCGCCCTCTAGTATCGAGTGGCAGAAAGTGTTAACCCAGAGTACCTTCAGCTTTTTAATTATTATTTATGGTCCTATCTAAGCAGAATGAACTAACTGTGTCTTGAAGTCTTGCAGAAGTTGCAGAATTTGTGGTCTATCAAATCTGATGTAATGGTTGGGGGGGGGGGTCTAGGATCCGAACCAATCAATATGTAGGGTTCGCGTAAATATAAGAAATCACTCAATAATTACCTTTAATTTATTAAAATTAGTGCGTAACTTCTGTCACACCTGGATATAAGCGGTGATGGAACCCTGGATGGTAAATGACGTAACAAAATTCTGTTATGTGAAGAGTTGCGTACATTCGAAACAAAAAAATGGTGATCACCCCCTGACCAACTTTAATTCCGTAATTAGAGCCACGCTATCATTATGATTATAGCCAAGCACAAGTCTATAGCTTAACATAAGAACAAAGGTCTCCTTATAGATTGGAACAAATTACGGTCCCGAGCCACCTGTACCGTCGACTTTTTCTTTGTTTATCATGGAGGCAGTTTACATAGATACATTTTATAAGGAAAAACACCCAGACCCGGAACAATTATTTATAGGCCGTACAAATACTTGTTCCGAACGGGATTCGAACCCACGGCCCATAGCGGCGTAACTTGTTGCCAAGTCACTGCGCCACGAAGCCATCAAGTCGTCATTTTTTTTCTTTATTATCTTAAAACATAGTTAGATTTTTAATAACTAACCTTATTCTCCTTAAGTATATCTTTCAGCTGCTGGAAGGTCATCCTGTTCCAGATATACTTCACGTCGCGCACCATGAAGTCCTCCACGCAAATGTCATACATACCTGCAAAAATATTATTTTATAAAACGAAAAAAAAACGAGCACACTGTCCGCCTGAATGTAAGTGGATGCTGTGACCTATAGACATCTACAACTTTCCTCAATTCAGAATCAAAAGGTAGAAGATGCGTTGGGATCCCTGAGCACTAAGACGAAATACATCGTTACAAGTATGAAGGATGTCCGGTCCTCGTCACACAATTTTTTATAGAATACGGGTGACAAGCGAGCACACAGTGTACCTGATCGTAAGTGGAAGCTGTGGCCCACATATATCTACATCTTCGATTACGAATCAAAATGCAGATTCATTGTCACCCCTGAGGACTAAGATGGAATGCCTCGTTTCCAGAAAAAAGGGTCTCCGGATCTGTACACTCACTATACGAAACACAGCAGTATCAAGCTGTTATTTTAGAACGTGTTTCTTCCCCGGTCGAGCCCACCTATTCTTGCTACGATCATAATATAGCTGCAGCGTAGCTACTACGTACTAAATTTTGTAATTTGTAAACTCAATATACTGAGCACAGCAGCATTATATACTACCATTTCATGCCGATATTCTGTGCGAGAGTCTTCCTCGGTCATGGTGACTTATTCTTGCTGCAGCATAGCTCTATTAAAAAAATTATAATATATAATTCTAAATTTAAATGATTTAGATTTTATATACATATTATAATAAATAAAATAAAAATGTTTTATTTTTCAGACATCGTAGGCCCATAGCATGTTAGTAATACAAATAAAACTTAAGAACTAATGTTAGTACACGAAACAATGAGGTGGAAGCCCCAACAATAACCTGAAGGCGTTGTTATATTGAATACGCAGGGTATTGCTTGCCCTTTGGGTATGATTGGCAAAAAGGCTGCTGGTATAAAATAATTGACAGTAAAGCCTTGAACAACGTAATTTTAAGATAATTGATAGAATCAGGCGTTACTTTGCGGAAATTCATTATATTAAAGATATTAAAATTTAATTCGCAACCATCCACTTAAGCGGATGGTTGCGAATTAAATTTTAATATCTTTATTATAATGTAATTTTAACTAGTGCAGAGCAAACAGCAAACCTTCGAGCCACCATATTACCTCTCACAGCTAGCGCGCTGCGTTCCCTTTCGATATCTAGATCATCCTTTAAATCCTTTGTGACAATGTGACCCAGGTATTTAAAATGAGTTACTCTCCGTAACAGTGAACCATTAAGCTTTACTGGAGGAACGCATATTGCCTCATACATGATATTAATTTATCTAATAAAGGTTTTAAAATACTGAAACAAAACGCTTAGATCACGAGGTATGATAATCTTTGTGAGAAATGTAGGTCATAGTAATGAAATTATTGTATTGTAACCGGTTTTTAATACGCCTGTAAAAAAAATTCTGAGATTATTCAGATTTTTTGAAGTAGGTGAAAACTAAATTACAAAATTTCAAAAGATACATACGCTATCTAATATAAAGCGGGTAAAGTAGATATATTACATAGACTATATCTAAATATATTAACTTATATGTGTACACAATAATTTTATTTATAATTTTTTTATATAAGTTTCATATATATATATATATATACACAACACAACATGTAACATAATTAACGCACTTTGAGAAATTAGTTTGTTCAGAATCATTTACTGAATCGATTCCTATCATTTTTAATATAGGTAATTTTTTATCCCAAAAATAATTAAAACTACACCACATACGAGAAAGAAAAAACAAATTAAGTCACACAAATGTACAGTCAAAAAAAACAAAGGACCAACAGAGTTGAGTGCATAAAAATAATGATTTGTCTGCCACAACAACTAAAAATTCAGTGTGTGTATTATGATTATAACATAATATACTAATTGGGGTGTCTGAGGGTGTGCGTTAATTACGTTACATATTATATATATATATATATATATATATATATATATATATATATATATATATATATATATATATATATATAACAATTTATCAAATACAATAAGACTGTGATTTAATAATAATTTAAGTTCTCTCCTCGGTAAAGTGCGAGGAACAATGGTCAAGTTTCTCCGCTGAATGGCTATACTTTTTGTCTATGAGCTAGAAAAGCCCTTTTCATACCAGCGGCGAAACCAAGTCTCAGATACAATTTTTCTAGTACTTCATCGCACGTGGACGCCAGGGTGGAGTCTCTAAAGCAAATTGCATAAATATGTAGTAATTTTTTTAGAGACTCATTTTTGCACCATTTACTTAGTTCAGTCATCACTGATGCCGTGCCGTCCCGGTTATAAAAATAGCAAGCCACATTAAACCTTTGCCTCTCTCCCAAGATATTTAATTAAAAATTATGATTCTTTTTAAACTTTATTGTAAATACTGAAGTTATTTTATAAATACTGAATATACATACCATAAAATAATGAAATACAATGAAATAACTTTGATTGAAATATTAATTAAATATTTATAAAACAATAAATTCATATTCGACGAGGATGGGATTCGAACCCACGCGTGCAGAGCACATTGGATTAGCAGTCCAACGCCTTAACCACTCGGCCACCTCGTCATGTGCGAGAATGTTCGAATTAATCAATATAGACATCATTTACATACTAACATAAAAATTTATGTAAATAGTGGCTGTAAATTAATTCACATGATAAAACTTTATTAAGTAATACAAAAAGCGTGCTAACTAAACTGACTTCTATGTTAGCATTATTCTTTTCTAAAAATCTACATTGTCTTCTGAATTACTATGTCAAACTAAAGCGTGTTTTAAAAATACTGTCTTAGTCACTTATCTTCGATGTAAGTTATTGTAAATACAACTCCGCACGGTATTTATTTTTTAACATCAACATTTGTAACTTGAATATCAAGCAGTAAACTTCTAAAATATTTAACCTAACCTTTTTTTGCACGGGGAAATGCCTAAGCATGCCCGCTGCGCGGCGTAAGGACGGGTTCTGTCGGACCGCACTGACTAACACTACTATCGCCTCATGGCGTCAGGGCCGCGGGAACGCTGCCGCACACCCGCGGCCCACCGGCACCGGCTGCCCCATGAACACCTCTTCGGGAGGACTACTCCTCCCCATCTACTCTTCAGGCAAGGCGCACCAGAACATATGGCGCATCTTCTTTCGCGGCCTCCAATTTCACTTGCGTAACGGGCGCCCCCGTGTGTGATGCGCGAAGACCATGGGGCAGCAAAAACGAGCGCTCAGCAGTACTAGCCTTCCTGTAGCTATGGCGGGTCTGGCTCATGGCGCGGCCGCACACCAAGATTCGGTTGCGGAGGGTACGGAGAGCGGCGCCTCCAATACTGACTCTCCTCTTTCCCCGCGACTCCATCTCGGCTGCTACTGCGGTAGGGGTAGAGGACACCCCTCTCACCACAACCCACCGACACACATCCGAAGTGGACTCGCCAAGCCAGAATAGAGAATATAAAAGAGAGAATATAAGCATAGTGCACGACCCATAGACATCTACATCTATCCTCGATTACGAATCAAAATGCTGATGCGTTGTCAACCGTGAGGACTAAGATGGAATGCCTCGTTTCTAGTAAAACGGGTCTCCGGTTCTCTACACTCACAATACGAAACACAGGAGCATTAAGCTCCCCCCCGAACGGGTTCCCGCCTTGTCGTGGCGGGGGGGCTTAGTAGCCGTGGCTTGGTCTCCCACGGTGAACAAAGAGGAACCCACGTGGCTGGCCCGAGGTGAACACTCCGAGTGGGCTTGGGGAGCCCACTTCGGATGTGTGTTGGTGGACTGCAGCGAGTGGGGACTCCGCACCCTCTACCGCTGCAGCCGAGGTGGAGTCGCGGAGGAAGAGGAGTGTTGGTATGGCGATGCGCCACTCGCCCTATCCTCCGCGACTCAAACGGGGCCGCACCGTTGATGCGGTGGTGATGGGGCTGCGGGGGGAGAGGATTGTCGGTATTGCGAGGCGCCGCTCTCCCTATCCTCCGCAGCCGAATCTTGGTTGGCGGCGGAGCCATAGACCAGATCCGCCGCTGGGGTCGGGAAGGCTAGTACTTCTAAGTGCTCGTTTTTCCTGGCCCCATGGCCTTCGCGCATCGGACGCGGGGGCGTCTGTTGCGCAGATGCAATTGGAGGCCGTGGAGTAAGGCGTGCCATGCGTTCTGGTGCGCCTTACTTTGGAAGGAGAACGGGGAGGAATATTCCTCTCCCGAGGAGGTGCTGCCATGGGGCGGCAGTCGCTGGTAGGGCCGCGGAAGTGTGTGAAAGCGTTCCCGTAGCCCTGCCAATATGCGACGAAGGTGGAACACCATGGGGTTTTAGTCGGTGCGAGTCCGACATAACCCGTCCTTGCCCCCACGAGGCGGGTATGCGTAGGCATTTCCCCATGTTAAAAAAAAAGGAGCATTAAGCTGCTATTTCACGGTGGTATTCTGTGAGAGCGTGGTCCCCCTCCGGTCGAGCCGACCCATTCGTGCTACAACTGTACTACTGATTTAAGAGCAGCATGGCTCTACCACGTGTCTAAAATTATACGCTCGCTTATAGCGCGCGGCCACAGTGCGAACCAAGCGACGACGGACGCGAATATCAAACATATGAAACCGCCGTTTTCGTATATAGTGTAGTGACTAAGTTGGACGCCTAGCGCGACGGGCGTGGGCGAGATACCGCGCGCAGTTTTCAAACGTTCCTATACGCGCGTTATGACCCACTACGAGCCTTTTTCAAGCGACCCAGCTCGCGGGGGTATCAAACTAATTCAGTCTTGTCGTTCGGCGTATGCGCGTCTTCAATTTCTTTTTGATGATTTTTAGGTGATATTTTACTTGGAATATAATCAAATGTTGACATGGAAATTCGAGTGTACTACTCAGTATCGGCCTGTTTAGTGAAAATACAAAATCTTCGTCCATGGTTGCAACCCTCCAACACTCCAACAGCTCGTTCATCACTGTGGCCACTGCACGTTCCCGCTATCGCGCCCGCAACACGTCTTAGTCGGAGTACGTACGTACGTACACTTGTGCACTGTAGTACTGTCCAGCGCAGATGGCTAGCCTCCGTTGGGACTACTCGCCTTCACTAAATTGTGCTCTGGAGAACATTAACTTGTAAATCTTTATCTTTATAAGCGCTACCTTAGTTGTTTCTTTTTGGGGGGCTGTTTTTTTTTGGTTGCATGTTCCATAAGTATGTATAACTACCGCAAGTCTATATGTGATAGCACTATTATTACCCAACACCTAGAAACAATCAGCGGTTCCAAAACAGGTTGGCTTATGTGGATAAGTGGTTTCATTTCACGAAAGAGAAGCCAAATGGGCATACGACTCATCTGATGGTTAAGTGATCACCATCGTCTAGTAGGGTAGTAGGGATATTCCAGGAGTACGCTCTATTCTTAAATGCCCCTAAGTCGTATCAGTCCAAAAAAACCGCTAGCAAGAGTAAATTCCACAGTTTGGTCGTACGAGGCAGAAAATTCCAAGTAAATTATACTACTAGAAGATCATCAACCATCGATATGAAAAAGGGGTGGCTGATCGTTAAGTAGACTCACGGCTGGCAGAAGATAGCAGGTCTGGCAGATATGGCAGCTTCTTGATGAGTATGATGCTGTCGAAGCAGGACGGCTGCAGCAACGACGCCGTGGCGTTGGCCGCCAGCACGGCCGCCATCACCGGCAAGATGTGGGTCACCTGCGTACACCATACACCATGAATTATACAACATACATGCACTATACGCCATGTAATATATATACCATGATACGACGATACGTTTAAGGGCATGCGACCAACTGTTAAGATAATGAGGGCTTCCACGACTTTTCCAGACACTTACAAAGGAGGTGAAATATTTAACAAATTTCGTAGCGAGGGAAATTAATTTGTTAGGAAAATGTTAATGACAGGGCTAATGTTTTTTTTAAATATAAGTTATATTTTATATTAATCAGATTAGTACAAATATATACAATTCTAATTTTAATCAAGTAGCCGAAAACTAAAACTCTACACTCAGCTTATTTATTGAACACGCACTCACGCACACTTCACACTCGTGCAAATGTGTGCGAACAGTAATGGAATATTACTGGTAGATAAAGAAAGAAAGAAGACATATGTGTGCGTGTAAGTGCGTGCGTTTCGGTGACATTTGTAAACGTACAAAGCGACCCGCCTTCCTTTCTTTGTTGGGTTGAGAATACGACGCTATAAAACCCTGAATGCCGTTACCGTTACAACCTCTTAAAGTCCCCAGCTGAACCTCCCCCATAGATTGCCGCATAGGAGGGATATTTGCCATAGCTGTCACGTTTAGCAAACGAGTTGACAAACGCATTCTTAGTCATTACACAAGAAGACTCCTCTGTCTCTTCTTAAGAGACCCACGGGATGATTTGGGGTAGTGGATAACCTTAAAGTGCTTTTTTCTCTATTGCGTAACACTTATCTCATCCGACACGGTACCGTGAAACCTGATAATTTTGCTATTGATTTCTTAAATTTACGCGAACACTACATATTGACATCATATCTAACTACATATTGAATAAAACTAAATTTACGGATTTTATCGCGTTTATTTCATTACTTTTACTTATTTTTAATTCCCGACGTTTCAACAACAGGCAAGTAGATGGTGTGGCGATGGGCTCACCTGTATCTCCCATAGTCGCCGACATATTTATGGAGAAAGCCCTTCTTACTGCTCCTGTAAATCCAAGATTCTACAAGCGGTACGTAGACGACACGTTCACAATTTTACCATCTGACAAAGTTACTGCATTTTTAAACCACCTTAACTCTATAAACTCTAAAATACAATTCACAATGGAGTTAGAGGCAAATAATTCTTTAGCTTTCTTAAATGTTTTAGTCATTCGAAATCCTAATAACACAATTGGTCACACTTTGTATAGGAAAAAGACCCATACCAACCGATATCTAAATGGTGAATCTCACCATCATCCTTCACAGTTAGCTACCGTGGGTAAATTTTTGTATCAGAGAGCACGAGGGATCTGTGACAGACAACATCTGGCCGCCGTACTTCAAAACGTCAAGCAAGTATTGCAAGACAACAAGCTTCGGGTCCCGCGCCTACGTCACAGTGACCGAGTGAAGCCGGCCACAGTCGAGCGTGTACCTGCTGTACTACCATATGTCAGAGGAGTCACAGACAAAGTTGGCTACATCTTGAAGCGAGCTTCCATTAAAACATACTACAAGCCGCCGAAGAAGATTAGTCAATTTTTACCATCCGTCAAGTGTAATATCCCTCTACAAGATGCAGGAGTGTACAAGTTAGATTGTGAATGTGGTCTCTCTTACATAGGTCAAACAAAAAGATCCATAAAAACCCGCGTGAAAGAACATATAGCTGACGTGAAGCACCGACGCTCCGGGAAGTCTGCAGTCTGCGAACATGTCCAAGATCGTCCCCACCATTACATTAGATTTGATAAACCACAAATTCTCGCAAAAGAACACCGATTCCTACCAATGATACGCGAGGCTATTGAAATTAAAAAACATCCAAATTTCAATAGAGAAGATGGATGGGTGCTGCCACCTGCTTGGGATCCTATAATTAACAAAATTAAACCCAAACCTAAGCATACCACTGCAAGACTTCATGATACTATAAGCTCGTTTTGCGTAAATCGGACCAAAAATTAATATTCAAAAACTGAAGGTAGCCGGACTAACTATGACATTGGGACCTTAAACATCTCAGGTCCCCCCCCCCCGTGACCATGGTTGCTGTAAAGCAACCAAAACGTCGGGAATTAAAAATAAGTAAAAGTAATGAAATAAACGCGATAAAATCCGTAAATTTAGTTTTATTCAACTTTGCTCTTTTTGGAACGACTTAAATTTTTTGGATCAATTTTCGTTTCACGTTAAAATAAAATGCCAAAATTAACTTTCATGTAGCCATAACAAAAACATTGCTGTCAATTAGTTATTAAATTTTCATCCAAAAAATGGCATATCTCGAAAAACGTTACGTTGTCCGTATTAATCGTAATTTTGTACCTGGTAAATCGCTGATGGCAAAGTTCACTTCCATTGGTAAAGTTGTCAAACTTGACTGTACGTGTAAAGATAGGATTGTTTTCTTGTAACGAAAAATTCTTACTAACGAATACAAATCGAATCTGCTTCTAGAAATTTCTAACGAGGATCGAAAATGAGGAGCAACAGATGGCATGTAACTTACAAAGCTTAATAGATCAGTAAACTAGTGGCAACGAGGCTACTATATTTTTTTAATAAAAATGAAATGGCAAACCAATTTACAATCCACCTGATGGTATTGGCTACTAGTTCATAAACACCTGCAGCCAATTTCAACAAAGAAGGTTACGGATGCATTGTCACCTCTGAGGATTAAGATGGAATGCCTCACAGTCTGTAATTATACTGGCGTTCTTTTCAGACTGGACCAAAGAAGTGCAAGCATATACATATATATTTTTATACGTGGTAAAGCCATGCTGCAGTTATACTAGTAGTATAGTTGCAGCACGAATGGGTCGGCTCGACCGGGGAAGGATTACGCTCTCACAGAATACTAACAACAAATAATAGCTTAATGCTGCTGTGTTTCGTATGGTGAGTGTAGAGAACCGGAGACCCTTTCCACTGGAAACGAGGCATTTCTTCTAAGTCCTCACGGGTGACAACGCATCAGCATTTTGATTCGCAATCGTGTATAGATGTAGATGTCTATGGGCCACAGCAACCATTTATCATCTGAGTGGAATGTGTGCTCGTTTGTCACCCTATCCTATAAAAAAAAATTATATTTTGCAGCAGAAATAGGTATGGCTCACGAACGAAATTGTACATAGTAAAATGAGTCTTATGTTAATTGTGTAAAGCGCAAACCAGATACGAGCCACAAAAGAAGTCGCGCCTCTTCCGGGGAATTCTCGAGGATTCCAGTAGATACTGTCGGCGAAGTCTGTGAAATTCGCGGGAAGTGGCGCGAAGAGCGTGAAATCTAGACTAACTTTTCTACAGCCTCAAGGCGATTGTCGTATGGCCGGTAGGGGAAGTCACGGAAATGCTCGAGCATTTCGTTCCATTCGCGCCTTTCCGCGCATCGCAGCGAAATTGATGCTTCCGTTACATTCGATTCCACCGCAAAGTAAATTGAGCCTAAGAGGTGGCACTTAACTAGACGGACTAGTAACAGTGTAGCAGTCCTACTACCAGGGTAGTATAACTCGAAGAATCAAAATACGATGAGAAAATTATTTGAATACGCAGACCCTCACTAAATAGACTGACGACCTGATGAAGTGTAGGAATTCTTGCCTGGTGAGGTACAGGAAGTCTGGATATTGGAGATCAAGATAGTGCTTTGCATAGAATACTATAATACATATATAATAGAACGGGGGAATGGGCGGAGCCCGTGTAGCCACTAACATGTCAATTCAAAAATCCCAAAAAAAAAAAAAAAAATAGTTTAATCATGTGTAGTGTTCGCGTAAATATAAGAAATCATTATGTCAATTCACATCTATAAATGTCAACACAATCAATCGTTTGCAATTTTCGTGTCAAGCATCGCTGTATGCAAATTATTTAAAAAATGGCAAATTGTGCCATAAATACGTGTCGAAAGAACAGCGGTAAATGTAATTCAACTAAAGGAGACATATCTTACAACCAGTAAGGCGAAACTATTTATATTTTGTGAATATTAGAAACAAAAATAAAGAAATATTTGTGTCAAATCAGTCTGTCAACACGATGTAATTGCTTGTATGTGTGTTCCAGACGAAGCCGATCCTCGTACAAAATAAGGTTGACAGCCATTCTATTGTGTATTATAATATTCTACGGTGCTTTGTGACAGTTATGGAAGTATGCCTATGTTCAGAAGTGGACTTGAGCTGTAGTGATAGTAAAGAAAAAAATACCTGTCCAGTCATTTCGCTGACGATGACGATGGTAGAAACAGTGTGAGTGACCGCCCCAGTGAAGGCAGCAGCACCCACAACCGCGTATCCACCTGCATATATGGAAAGGAAGAGAAAGAGTTACTTAAAAAAATTATACTAGTAACGCCACCATACTTCAATAACGACTTCTTCGATTACCGTCCCATCGGACTATGAGAGTGAGGTAATAGAGTGCACCCGTGCCTGCGCATACACTCTGGCACTATAATCCTTTCCTGTTCAAATGATTAGTCTCCGTTGAGACCTTCCGTCTGTATATTACTATTACCACATTTTTACTAACTAGCTTTAATGTATGTCAGTTCGGTACTTTAGTATTCTATTTCAATCTAACTTCCCGAAGAACGAGAGCAGGGATGGCGAATCAATGGCACGGGACACAATATTAAGGGCACGCCACCGATCACAAAGTTCACTATGAAGTATTATATTACGAACAAACACGAGTGATCCTACGTTACGGAGTGTTCGAGCGCGATGCGCGTGGCGGCGGTGGCGGGCGTCAAGTGCGCTGGTTTCGTTGCTGTAGTTACATCGTGGACTTACTATTGCTAATGACGCATAGTTCCTTTGATCGTACGTTCATCATCATTATTGCAGCTCTTCACAAGTCCACACCTCCCCCAAGGTTGCACTTTGTTTACGCACAACATATTATTCAATTTCGTTGACACAACTGTATTTAAAAGTTTAGTACCCGGTTGACGACTTTGTGTTTTTTCAATATTAGATACAAATTAGATACTATAAATACAATAATATTTTTTGATCTTACGACATAATAGAAAAAAACTGAACTGGTTATTTGAATAAAAAATCATGAGTGCAATTATTAATTTAAATTTTCGTGTTTTTAAAAAATACTAAAAAAAAGGCTCGAAAAAAATAGATTTTCTCAAAAAAGAAAGGAACTTGAAAAAAAATTTAAAAAGTCGGTCGGTCGGTTTGGGCTCGAACCATGGTATTACAATTTTGTGACCGCCCAATATACCAATTTAAGCTATTTGTAATCATTAATAAACTGTCAAAATTTACCTTCTTATTCCAACGATATTGTAGCAGTTTTTCATTGCCTAAAAACACAGACAAAAAGACATTTTCTAAAAATAAATCCTAGCTAGATCGATTTATTGCCCCCGAAACTCCTTGCACACAAAATTTTATGAAAGTCGTTGGAGCCGTTTCCGAGATTCATTATATATATATATATATATATATATATATTGCCGTGTAGTGGCGGTTAAGAATATCCACTACCCCATATCTTCCCGTGGGTGTCGTAAGAGGCGACAGAGGGAGACAGGCAGGAGATGGGCAGCAGCGTCTTCCTGATGACAACTGTGACGTAATAAAAAACTGCGGTTGCCAACCCGCTCGCCAAGCGTGGCAACTATGGCAAATACCCCCCAATGAATAAATACACAAACAGACGGCCCCCAGTCCCCGGCGGCCCCGCTATTCCTGGCTACGGTGGCGACCATGGTAACGGCGGGGCAGGGGGTGCTAAGAATCTCCGGTGGAGGTTCGGTTGCCACCTACGACGACTCGACCTGGCAACATATAACGCACGCACCCTGAGGACTGACGAGAAGATACTGGAGCTGGAAGAAGAGGTAGACAAGTTGCGCTGGCATATTATTGGATTATCCGAGGTCCGAAGAGAGGGGGAGGACACGGCAATCCTCGAGTCCGGCAACTTGTTCTATCACCGGGAGGGCGACCATCTGTCCCAAGGAGGTGTCGGATTTATCGTCCACAAATCTCTCGTCAACAACGTTGTAAAGATTGGGAGTGTGTCGACGAGGGTCGCGTACCTGATACTCAGAATCACCAAACGGTATTCGCTGAAGGTCATTCAGGTTTACGCACCAACCTCGGCACATCCCGATGAGGAGGTGGAGGAAATGTATGAGGATATTTCCAGAGCCATACATTCCTCCAAAAGCTACTACACGGTGTTGATGGGAGACTTCAACGCAAAACTGGGCACAAGAGAAAGCGGTGAGCTGAAGGTAGGGAAATTTGGAGTAGGGCAACGGAACCGAAGGGGCCAGCAGCTGGCCGACTTTATGGAGAAAGAGGGACTCTTTATGATGAACTCTTTCTTCCAGAAGCGGCCCCACAGGAAGTGGACCTGGTCGAGCCCCGACGGTTCGACAAAAAATGAGATTGACTTCATTATGACGACCAGACGCCAACTGTTCAGTGATGTCTCAGTGATCGCAAGGGTGAAAACTGGCAGCGATCTCCGAATGGTTAGAGGCACACTGAACCTAAACGTTAAGTTGGAGAGGTCTCGTCTAATGAAGTCAACGCTCCGTCCCCCCTCGTGCTCTAATCCAGAATCCCGAAACCTTTCAGCTCGAGTTACGTAACCGCTTCCAGTGCCTAGAAGATTGCAATGCAGTGGACGATATGAACGACAAGCTCGTGGAAACTGTCCATGCGGTCGGAGCTAAGTTCTGCAAGACCCGCCGCAGAAGAACACAAAAACTCTCCGATCACACTCTTAATCTCATGGCTGTTAGACGGGAGATGAGGCTGCAATCGTCAACAGATTTGACAGCATACAGGCAACTGAACAGACAGATCTCCAAATGCATACGGCGAGACTTACGCAACTTTAATACTTCTCGTATTAAAGAAGCGATCGAGCGGAACCAGGGCTCCAAAGTCTTTGCCAGAGATCTGTCTGCCAGAAAGAGCCAACTGTCAAGGCTGAAGACTGAGTGTGGCAACATCGTTTTCGGGACACCTGAGATTTTGAGTGAGATTGAGAGGTTCTATGGGCAGCTGTACACATCATCGTTGGAGCCACACGCAAGTGTGAGTAACGATCCAAGAGCAAGTCTTATCCGACACTATTCCGATGATATCCCGGACGTCAGTCTAAGCGAGATTAGAATGGCTCTCCAGCACCTTTAAAACGGCAGGGGCCCCAGGCGAGGATGGAATTACAGCGGAGCTTCTGAAAGCGGGTGGAACACCGGTACTTGAAGTCCTTCAGAAGCTCTTCAATTCCGTCCTCCATGGTGGCACTACTCCAGAGGCGTGGAGCAGAAGTGCGGTGGTCTTGTTCTTTAAGAAAGGCGACAACGCTCTCTTAAAGAACTACAGACCGATTTCCCTTCTGAGCCGCATCTACGTGCTGTTTTCGAGAGTCATTACGAATCGTCTCGCACGCAGACTTGACGACTTCCAGCCTCCCGAACAAGCCGGTTTCCGAAAACGCTTCAGTACCATAGACCACATACATACCCTGCGGCAGATTGTACAGAAGACTGAAGAGTACAATCTGCCACTTTGCCTGGCGTATGTGGACTATGAGAAAGCCTTTGATTCCGTCGAAATTTGGGCGGTGCTACAGTCCCTTCAGCGGTGCCAAGTTGACTGTCGGTATATCGAAGTGCTGAAGTGTTTGTACAGTAGGGCTACGATGGCTATCCGAGTACAGAACCAGAGCTCTAAACCTATCCAACTGCAGAGAGGTGTAAGACAGGGTGACGTTATATCCCCGAAACTCTTCACCGCTGCATTGGAAGACGTTTTCAAGCTACTGGACTGGAAAGGATACGGTATTGACATCAATGGCGAGTACATCACTCACCTTCGATTTGCCGACGATATAGTCCTTATGGCAGAATCGCTGGAGGACTTAAGCACTATGCTCAATGACCTCAATAGTGCCTCCCAACGGATAGGTCTTAAGATGAACATGGACAAAACAAAGATCATGTTCAATGTCCATGTCACACCTATGCCGGTAGTTGTTGGGAGCACTATGCTCGAAGTTGTTGACGAATACGTTTACCTGGGACAAATAGTCCGACTAGGTAAGTCCAACTTCGACCGAGAGGTCAATCGACGGATTCAACTCGGCTGGGCAGCGTTCGGGAAATTACGGCATATCTTTTCGTCAGGTATACCTCAATCTCTAAAAACTAGATTGTACAACCAGTGCGTGTTGCCAGTGATGACTTACGGATCTGAGACGTGGTCCTTCACTGCTGGCCGTATGAGGACGCTTAAGGTCGCTCAGCGAGCTATGGAGAGGGCTATGCTCGGAGTTTCTCTGCGTGATAGACTCAGAAATGAGGATATCCGCAGTAAAACCAGAGTGACCGACATAGCCCAACGGATTAGTAAGCTGAAGTGGCAATGGGCCGGCCATATAGCTCGAAGAACCGATAACCGATGGGGAAGAAAGGTTCTCGAGTGGCAGCCTCGTACCGGTAGGCGTAGTGTAGGGCGACCCCCCACTAGATGGAGTGACGACCTGGTAAGACATGCAGGAAGTCGATGGATGCAGGTGGCTCAGGACCGTGCTTTGTGGCATTACTTGGGGGAGGCCTATGTTCAGCAGTGGACTTGTGAAGGGCTGTAATGATGATGATGATGATATATATATATATATATATATATATATATATATATATATATATATATAAGAAAATTGCTCATTTAAAGGTATAGGATTTGTGTAAAATTTAATCCAATATAAGTTATTTGGCATCTAATCTGCAACAACATGGGTCACACTAATGGTACTTTAGCTTAAATTACGCGTATAACTCAAACATTTAAGTCAAAACTCTTTATTTATTTTTGTAGTAAAAGAGTTACGAGTTGATAGTATTTAGTACTATTATTTTCCCAATAATCACGAAGTCAAAATTATTTTACGGCACGTCTATGACCTCATTAAACACGTTTTTAGAAAAATAGCACGTTGATACATAAAGATTCGCCACCCCTGTACTACAGACTGGAAAACTTGAAAATAGCTCAGAATCGAATGACAATGTAAGAATATAAAAAGTGGTGTTATTATTATTTTTTACCACAAAAATTATTTTACAAAACAAATTTCATTACATCAATCCATTACAGCATACAGTCCACGCCTGAACACAGGCCTCCCCCATAGATTGCCTCGCAGAGGCGATGTTTAGACGACTCCGTGGCGCAGTGGTTTAGCAATGAGTGGCTGCGCTAGGGGTTGCGGGTTCGAATCCCGCAATCCCGGGTCTGGATGTTTGTCCTTGTGCAATTTATATTTGTAAACTGCCCCCACGATACAGGAGAAAATCCTAGTGTAGGGGTAACGTTTAAAAAAAGAAAAAGAAAAAAAAGATGTTTTTACTATAGTTGCCACGCCCGACAAGCGGGTTGGAGCGCATTTTTTTGTTTTTAGTCCTTATTAGTAACTACTACTACGCGATAAACATGGTAAAATAAGTTCGTTCGAGTATTATTATTATTTTGGTTAGGTATATAGAGTGTTCTTGTTTGAATTCGCCTTAGTCGCGGCGTTCCTCACATCACACCGTGGGTGCTGTAAAAGTCGACATAGGGAAAATAAACAGAAGATGGGCAGTAGCGTCTTCCCGATAACTATTCAACATAATGAAACTCTGCCGACCTGGCGATGACGATGCTACCGTAGAGGCAGATGAGACGAAGAGTATAAAACACTCTAACCAACTAAATGACGTGACGAAGAGAATAAAACGCTCTAACCAACTAAATGGTCGGTGATTTCGCTTTCGCGCAAAACTACTCATAAATATTTTGAGAACATGTGAAACTCGCCACCAAATATTACCAACAGTCCTTAATACGTCTTCAAAATTTCACACTCAGTGGCGCAGTGGCTTAGCAATAAGTTACAGCGCTAAAAGCCGCGGGTTCGAATCCCGCACGGAACAAGTATTTGTATGGCCTACAAGTAATTGTTCCGGGTCTGGATGTTTGTCCTTGTGAAATGTATGTTTGTAAACGGCCCCCACGATACAGGAAAAAGTCCTAGTGTGGAGGTGACGTTTTTTAAAAAGAAAAAAGAACTAAAAAAAAGAAAAAAAGTGAGTGGAAATTGAATTACAATATTCCATTACATTAATAAATTGTGTGCGTGTAATTACTTTATTTTATCCTGGTGATCCTGATCAGGAAATTAGGATAAAGTTATTTTAAATTATTGTATTGTGATCGGTTCCAGAGTGCAAACTTACACTCGTATGAGGCTCAAGTCTATCGGCCGTCTACAGTTGATATAAATTACATTAAAAGATTTCGTTTCATGCGAATTAAATAGAAACGTGTTAAAAAGGAACCCGGAGTCCAGCTCACCAGGGAGTATCTTCTGGATGTGGCCCCCATACGCGACGCCGAGAGGACAGAAGTAGTGCATCACCTCCCCGGTGAAGCGGCCAAGAGAAGCCCCCATCTTGAACGCGGGCACGAAGATTCCCGCCGGCACGGGCAGCGTACAAGACACCATGCTCAAGAAGAACTGCAACACGGAGGATATAATTTTTTACACAATAAGCCTGACTAACGAGCACACAGTCCACCCGATGGTAATGGATGCTGTGGTCCATAGACAATAGACATTTACATTTGCCCTCGATTCAATATCAAAATGCAGATGTGTTGTCTAAGATAAAACATCTCGTTCCTAATAAAAATATTCGCAGGTTCTCTATACTCACCATACGAAACTTTCACTCTGGTTTTCTGTTAGAGCGTGGTCTTTCCCCGATCGAGACGGCTCATTCGTGCTACAATTATAATATAGCTGCAGGCTCTACCTGATATTAAAATATAACTAAATACGTAGTTAACCCTTCAAGCGTCATAAAAAACCCATGCAGTCACATGCGGCCGTCAAACCCGAGCGGTCGCATGCGACCGCATCCCCCCACAGCACTTAAAACCATTAAAACTTATATTTAGAATACTTATACTTTTACTTTTCTATTATACTTTTCTATGAAGAAGTTTAGCATTATAAAATCTATAGAAAATTTTTCTGGTCTAAACAAAAATCAGGTTTTACTTCATTACAAAAGGATTTTATTGTATTTTGATAACAAAAGAAAAACATACCAAGCGAATGTCGGCAGCGTGAAAATCACAATTAATTCAATATATATTACTCAAAATTATTTACGTAAAAAGATAAATTATATTCACACAAAAACTTTCATTAAAATTTTATAATAAAACACTATACTAAAACACTAGAAAAATCCAAAAATCAACACAATAAAATTCACCCGAAAATGGCGTACGAAATGAACGTAGATTATAAATAAATATTCATAGGATAAAATTTTTTTATTGCACTAGAGGATGGAGTATTTCATATTGATTATATAATGCCAAACTTCTTTATAGAAAATATATATAAATTTTTATGGGTTAAAAGTATATATAAGTGCTGTGGGTGGGTGCGACCTCATGAGACCGCTAAGGGGTTGAGAGGTTAAATGCATGTTATTAAAAAAAAAACAAGAACTAGGCTGAAGCAATGTAATAACTAAGTTCAAATTCACTGTATGTACAACTAACACATAATTCAGAATTAAATTTTTTATTGCATTTTTGACAGAAGCTTTTAAGCGTTTTCCCCTAAATTAAAAAAAATGCAATAAAATAACGCTTCTGTAAACATGAACAAACAAAAAAACAAGTCCTCTAAAATCAATATTTTCTAAAAAACGAAAGATGGGTCATCCACAAAATAAAACCAATCCACAGAAGAAAGAAACTCACACTTGACATTGACTAGAGAAGAAAATTCTTTCTTCTCTAGTCAATGATACAGACACATACTGACATATACGATTGGTTCCAACACAGTTTTAAATTTTCGAAAAAATCAATGATACATTAACAGGTGACGGAATTAATGCACGCAATTGAGAGAAGGCGGGAGGTGCTATTCAAACTAGGTAAGACACATCATTTTATAGTACTGAGCGGATGGTCACAAAGTAACTTTTAATATGTATCTCTAGTAAAATGGTTATTCATTTCTTAATATAATGCAAATAAAACCCTAAGTTCAAAATAAGACAGTTATTTAGATATTATAGACAGACACTTCAATTCTATTTATATGTATAAATGTATAAATTGCCATCATTTGCGTAAAACATTTGAACAAACAACAACTTGTTGACTGACAAACAACGAAGTGATTCTGCATCGTAGTGATGCGTTTGGATAAAAATGACACGTCCGTTATAATACTACAGTCTATGTGATGGTAAGTGACTACTGCAGTCAATGAACACATGTAAGCAATATAGTGGAATGGTACATGGTGTATACTTTATTTTGTACGTGGTAGTGCCAAGCTGCAACTATTTTATAGCTGCAGCACAAATGAGTCGACTCGACCGGGGAAGGACTACGCTCTCAAAGAATACCAGTGTAAGCATTCCATTTTATTTTGTACGGTTGGCAATGTATCAGCATTTGGATTTTTAAACGAGGATAGATGTCTATGGGCCAAAGCATTCACTTACCATCAGGTGGACTGTGTGCTCGTTTATCACCCTTACACTAAACTAAATTATACAAATTGGAATATAGACGTATTTCTCCGAATTACATGATGTGACGAGGTGGCCGAGTGGTTAAGGCGTTGGACTGCTAATCCAATGTGCTCTGCACGCGTGGGTTCGAATCCCATCCTCGTCGAAAATTTTTTGTATAATTTTTTTGTTGTTGTATTGATAAGAATAGATATTCTTTAAGATATGACAGCATTTCGTATAAGGATACTAGTGAGATATTTAATTGGTGCGTCGCTTTGCGCTTTAAAATTATTATTACTTCCTTCTATTAAATATAATTTTCCCATTTATTTAGATTTAATGAAGGTTTTCTTAATTATATTAAAATGAGAAATGATTACCATAAATATGACTTCTGTAGTCAATGGACAATAGCGATCTTAGCCAAGTTGATTTTCTAAAATCGTTAACGATAATAGAAGCTAGTAATCAAACTTTTAAATAATTTAAAAACGACTTCAAAGGAACAAAAATTAAATATTTTAATAAAACATATAAAATACATTACAAAAGTCACTAACATTACGAAGACAGTGCTAACATATAGCTGCTTAAGAGGTGAGAGTAAGTCAGCTCAAATTCTAATTTCGCCCCCACTTCCCCGCGCGTCGTATGCTATGTACCGACATGTTTGTAATCACTAATACTCTAAGTAGATAGGTCGTTAGATACTATTTCGTTATGTTTATCATATATATGCCTGTTTCTTAACGCCAACCCACTCGCTTCTTATTTTTGTAACGGTTATTTCCCATTTTAATTTTACGTCTTCCTGTTGCGTAATGTGTTTTCTGATCGTAAGCAACACAACTTCTCCGTTCAAAAGCCGGAGCAATACTAACGGAGCGACAGGAACCAAGCTTACGCGCCGATAGTTTAGGTAATTTCTTTTTACAGTGAAAATAATGATATTTTAAAAAAAGTAAATAACATAAGTACTGCTTTATGGTTAGTTCAGTTAGTATGCAAAGTTTCATGATCTTATTTAAAGTATTTTATGAATAACAGCGGTTTATTGTTCAGTTTGGAGGTAACTTTGGAATTTTTTTCTATCGAGAAAATTTTACGGAATCGTGTTTTCGTCTAACATAAACCTTAACATTAATCCTCAACTTTACCATATATTTATTTCAAAATTAATGTTGCAATACTTTCGGCATAACGGAGGATCTTGCTAAGCCATTTGAGGTTATATTTCCCCTTAAGGTACCTCAATATCGTTGAAATAATTAATTTAATACTTTATTTTGTCGCCCATAGAGGAGGAATTTTTTATACAAATTCGTAATTTATTTACTATTTTTTATAAAGTTACTTATATAACTAATAATTACATGATTAAATGTAATTACCAACCTACGTATAACCTGTTAATTAAAACCGGTTCACAATTGATGATGATATTTTGTTGACCTCCATGAATAAGTAAGTTATTTATTACTTAATGGCATGCAAATAACCCCACCCCATCAACTCAATATATGACAGCTTTTTCGATATTACAGATTACAGACAGACAGTTCAATTTCAGTTATATGTATGGATATCACACCGTGACATAATGAGGCGATTTGATTTTCGCCATTTTAGCGCTGATAGCAGTAGTGAACTAATAACAGATAGGGCAGTGTGACAAGGGTATGTTCCGAAATACAACGCAGTGTACTGTCCAATGCAAATGACGTCATAAATCGACGCTATACTGGTGATTCGTTCCAAAACATTGGACAGTATATGACGTCATACTTTTGCGTCATTTGGAAAAGTGTTGGCGATTATTTTGTCATTTTGTGCTCCAAAAATCATTATATCCTCCTAATGGATATACCATCAATTATTCTATAATTTTTTGTATTTGAATAAATAGAAACAAATTCTGGCATGCTTCATTCGGCAAACACACAATTAAAAATTGTTTTATTATGGCCGGATATCCGACACAATATGGCGGCGGCACGCTAGTACAATAAAGTGTCAAATGATACGTCATTTGCATTGGACAGTACACTGCGTTGTATTTCGGAACATACCCAAAATGTATCGATAAATAAAACTCTATACCTGCCCTGCCCGTAATGTTCATCTTATTTATGTATCATTTTAATATAATATAATAACGTTACCAATATTCTCCTGAACCCCTCCAAATAAGCTTATAAAGCTAGATAAACATTCTAACCACTAGGTTTCAGTCGTGACCACACAGTTTATAGAATAAGGGTGACAAACGAGCACACAGTCCACCTGATGGTAAGTGGATGCTGTGGCCCATAGACATCTACATTTATCCTCGATTAAGTATCAAAAGGCAGATGCGTTGTCATCCATGAGGACTAAGATGGAATGCCTTGTTTCCAGTAAAAAAGGGTCTCCGGATCTCTACACTCACCATACGAAGCACAGCAGCTGCTATTTTACGCTGGTATTCCGTGAGAGCGTGTTCTTTCGCTGATAGAGCCGACCCATTCGTGCTGCAACCATACTATTGCTGCAACGTGGCTCTACCGCGTATACTTACGATAGAGAAGAAGTAGACGACGAGGCATCCATAGAGGTCAACTTCTGGGGTCTGCCAATGTGATACAATGGACGCCTGCTCAGCCGTCAGCTCGTCCGACCACGTGAAGTTCGCGAACAGAGACAAAACCTGGAAATTATTGAAATTGCGATGAATGGGTAACCATTAGCTTTTCTGAGTGACAGAAGAACTAAGAAGTTCACCTGATGGTTAATGGCTATGCATTCCATGGACAATGTAGCCAACTTCAAAATAACCCAAGTCACAAATGCGTTTTCATCTAAGGACTAAGACGGAATGCCTGTGATTATAATAAATAGCCGCAGTAGCTCAGAGACAGTATGTGTAAGGTCCATAGTGCACGAGCAAACAGAGTTCGATCCCAGGCGTACCGATTAAAAAATTTAATTGCTGATTTACTAAGTCCAGTTATGTAAAGAACATCGAGGAGAAACCTGTATGTTTAAAAAAAAAGAATATTAACAATGCTATAAACATTACTAATATTCCCCTTAACCACTCGTGGTAAGCTTAAATTGCTTGTGTTACGAGTGGTTCACGCCAGTAGTCGAATGGCGGATTCGAACCCACGACCTTTTTGAGTTCGCGGTCCGCGCCCTGCCATTAGGCTACCGTCGCTTCCAATCATTTCCATGTTTGAGAAATAAAGTCATTCAAGGACATACGAAGTCCGAGAGAGAAGCATCTCTCATGCGCAGGGTCCGTTGAAGCTTTGATGGCATTCTGAGCACAATGAAATGAGAGCCCTGAGCCCAGCAGTGGAAAATATATCATATATCAAATACTAGAACCTTGCCTTTTACTTTATATCAATAACATTCTAGACAACGCTTGGTACTTCTTCTGTTCTCCTTCTTATTTCAGTCCACGTTAATGAATTGCTAAGCGTCACTGAATTTGCCAGTCTTTTAATAAATGATGAGTTCTTGACGGCTAATGAGATGTTGAGCCCGCCAGTTTTACGAAATTTTTCTCTTCGGAGCTTTAATTTTTAAAAAGGCTAAACTTTAGTTATTGAAAAGGCAAAAAAGCATGGTATACGCATAAAACACTAACTTGTAAAGAGGGGGAATGTATGAAAACTTTCGCACAACACATTCCACGCACATACACTATACACATATTACACACACACACTACACACTCACAAACACACACACACACACACCCACACCCACACACACACACACACACACACACACACACCATTTTTACATCTCAATCTAAAAATTATAAATTTTATGATATGGAAGAGGGGCTTAGTTCTGATACGGGCGCATTTCGCGTTCAAAAAAAGAAGTCTACTACGGTATATGTATTTGTAAGACCGTGTTTATGAATAAAACCTTTTTATCTTTTTTTATTGTAATAATTTTACTGAGTATGTTCGGTGTGAGAATGTATACTTCTCCATACCATCCCATATGTGTCGTAAGAGGCGACAGAGGGAAATAAGCCAGGCGACAGACAGCAGCGACTTTAAAACAACCAGAATTTAAAAACGGCAGTTGCTAAACCACCTGCCAAGTCATAAAAATGTCAAACATCCTCGTTGTGAAGCAATCCATTGAGAGTACTATGTTTACTTGACTTTGGTAGGCTATATTCTATAAAATATATGGTATGGTATAAAATGTATGGTAGTGAAAGTTGGGTGTGGCAGAAGAAGCACGAAAGTAGAATGAATGCTGTAGAAATGCGGTCTTTAAGGAGTATGCTAGGGTTGAATTTGAATGACAGGGTGAGAAATTGCGTGATAAGAGATAAATGTGGTATGCAAGATGATGTTGTGATCAGGATTAAGAAAGGAATGCTTCGGTGGTTTGGTCATGTAGAAAGAATTAACCAGGAAAGAGTGACAAAGCAAATTTATATTGCAGATGTGAACGGCAGAGTCGGGAAGGGACGCCCTAGAAGAAAGTTTATCGACCAAATTGGCGATATTTTAAAAATGGGCCACATTAGAAGTACCCTTAACCGACGAGCATGTATGCATAGATATATGGATCTAAAGGAGGCGAAAGAGGTATGTCAGGATCGTGCCAAATGTAAGTCCGTAGTTTCAGCCTACCACTCTGGATGACAAGCGTGAGTGTTTATGTATATGTATGTATGGTAGGCTATAGTGAATTACTGAAGAACTTTAATGGCTACTTACCTGTACGAGAACCAGCAGTTGGACAGTCAGATTGCCACCAAGAACATACAACTCCTGGATTTAAATTTTAAAAGACACGTAAAATATCAATGTAGTTCACCTGCTCCTGATTTCCAAGGTCTGCAGCCATGAACCTGCCGATGCCGGGCGGGAACAGCACCGACATCACCGCCAGCGTCATAAACCCGGGATAGATGAAGCGACTGTAGAATTGCATACAAACATTTTACCAGCCAATTGATATATGATCAATATTTTTATTTAATGTGTTTATAGTTATTATGCCTCATTTCAAGTAAAAAGGGTTGTTTGTCTTAGTGCAACTTATTTATGTAGACTGCCTTCATGCTCCAGGAGAAAATTCTAGTGTAGGTTCTTAAAACAATGATAAGAAATGAAATGAGATGAAGTTATATCAATATCAGATCGATTACACTCACTTTTTCTGAAGGAAGTTGCTCAGGGTCTTCGTGTTTCTCATGAACAACACGTACTGACGGTGCAGGAACACCCACAGAGCAGCCAATAGGCCGCAAATGATCCTGAAAGTGAGAACGAAGAATTAGTTAGGAAATAATTCATGTTTAAGTCAGGTGAAAATACAGTGAGCTGATGAAAAAACGTGTGTTTCAAATCCCATCACCAAGCGTTCGCACAGCTTTTACAAAACGATTTAATCCATTCAGTAAACCACTAATATATAACAAGTTATGAAGGTATGCAACATAAAAGATTGCTCGACGAACACAGCTAGAACGAAAATAGGAAACTGGTTGCTTACGCTTAGTTATGAACAAACAGAAAAGCTGCTCCGAACATTGTCATAGTAGCCACATGCACAATACTGATATTGAATTGTTATTATAGCAGTAACTGCAAATTCAAAATACTGTAATATTAACAAATTTTAATATGTATGTGTGTGTATGTATGTATATATAGATGTATGTATGTATGTTTTTGTAAATATGTTTAAGTATATATTTTATGTTTCAAGACTATAAATAAAATGGAGTAGACATTTAAAGGGAAAGCTTTGTAAAGTCAGCCGTGCACCAATTCTGTTTTTGTTAATATGTGTATATGTGTATATGGCTCTCACGCTACAGGTCTGCGGGCCTAGTGTGAGAACCACTGCTAAATTATTTGTAAAGGTGCGAACTGTCAAATAAAGTATTCTCATTTTTCATTTTCAAAAGGCTGACAAACTGCACTGTCCACATGATATTAAGTGGACACCATAAAAATTATAATAACAATATCTTCCAAGACCCAGTGTTCAGATCACTGAACGATATTAAGGTGAGAGAAGCGGTATAACCGGTCTGCTGGCGGCCGCGATCGGCTTGGAGTGGAGCGGGAGTGAGCGAACGGACCTGGCACCGACAGTACTCATGGACGCTCATATAAAATCATTTTTAATTTAAACATATTGTAACGTTTAGTTCCCCATTATACAAGTTTTTAATAAATAAATAAGTTAATCAAGGTGAAGATTAGGACAACCCTATAAATTTGCAGTAATTTCATTTAGTACTATAACATCGAGAACAAACACCCAGTTAGTGCCCGAGTGTATGCACAAGCACAGGTGCACTCTCTATGCCCTCACTCTCATAGTCCGATAGGATGGTAATCCGAAACGACCGGAGAGAGATCAGGCGTACGACCAACGGCTTTGCTTTACGTGCTTCCCCAGGCACAGGGTGAAACACCGCCAATTTCTTGACTCCGGGCTGCTACTCGGAATTTCTTGACAGAAAAACCCAATAAATGATTTTGTCACGACCCGGGATTTGAACCCAGAATCGATCATGATCAGGAACCACGTTTGCGATCATTAGACCAACGAGACAGTCAAGTGGACAGCATACAATTACCGTAGATGTAAGTGTATGGATTGTCCATAGACAAATATGTGTATCCTGGATTAAGAATCAAATTGCATATCATCTTTGAAGACTAGGATGGAGCGCCTAGTTATCAATGTAAAGTGTATTACGTTCTCTATACTCACCATACAAAACACAGCAGTATAACGCTGCTGTTTCGTAATACCTTATAAAATGAATAAATTATAAAATTATAGTCAACTTTTTTTTATAGAATAAGGGTGGCTAGTGAGCACACAGTCCACCCGACCGATAGACACCTACATCCATTCTCCATTCAAAATAAAAATGCAAAATGCGTTGCCTCTCCTGAGGACCAAGATAGAATGACTCGTGTCCAGTAAAAAGGGTCTCCGGTTCTCTACACTCACCATACGAAACACAGCAGTATTAAGCTACTATTTCGTGCTGTTATTCTGTGGGAGCGTGGTCCTTCCCCGGTCGAGCCGAGCTACTCACGCTACAACCATAATATAGCAGCAGCGTGGCTCTAACACATATACAATTAATGTAATAAAATAATTTATACGAAACTAAGTAAATTGATTAAAACTACTTTTACGGATTTTATCGCGTTTTATTTATATTAATTTTAATACCCGACGTTTCGGGTGCTTTCCAGCTTTCTATCAATCTGATGTAAAATTTTTACATCAGATTGATAGACCACAAATCCTCGCGAAAGAACACCGATTCCTACCAAGGATGATACGTGAGGCTATTGAAATTAAAAAACATCCTAATTTCAATAGAGAAGGAGGCTGGGTACTACCACCTGCTTGGGATCCAATAATTAATAAAATTAAAACTAAACCCAAGCATACCACTGCAAGACTTCAAAACACGGTTAGTTCATTCTGCGTAGATCGGACCAAAGACAATAATTAAAAAGCTGAAGGTACTCCGGGTTAACTTTGACATCGGGACGTCAGTCACCTCAGTCCCCCGTGACCATGGGTGCTGGAAAGCACCCGAAACGTCGGGTATTAAAATTAATATAAATAAAACGCGATAAAATCCGTAAAAGTAGTTTTAATCAATGTATAGTTTTCGCGTAAATATAAGAAATCATTATGGAAACTAAGTAAAGTTATAAGGATACGCCATCGAAAGTAAATTTGTTTACAAAGGATCATTTTATAATTTTTTATGGCTTTTAACAACTAAACTTTCTTTAAACGAGAATCAAATGGATGTTCATAAATGTCAAGTCACAAACTAAGACCATCATTCAGAAACTATTTCAAGTTTAAACTTCAAGTCTACAGTATCGAAATTTGAGTCTAGACCACACCATGTTTTATAAATTTTAACATAATGAAGTTTGAGATGAAACACATAATTGTCTGTGAACACCGGCCTAACCTCTCCTAGTCTATTTGGTGGAAGTTGCAACCATATGTACCTACAAGGCTACAAGGTCACCCCCGAGAACAGAGGTGGAATGCTTCACAGCCTGTAATTAAATTGATCCTCTGACTCTTCAAACCCGCACCCACTACTGTAGCCGTAATTCAGCAACGGATTACTTGCTGGTAAGTCACTGAAACATACCTCAATAATCCCTAGGTAGAAGAGGCAGGTAAACCGAGACCAACAGTTGATTCAGTAAGTTATCTCAAAGAAGTACAAAGGCACTGACCCGAGCAGCACGAAGACAGCGAACTCCTGTGGGTCGAAGGGGAAGTCCTGTGGCAGGTTGGTAGGGAACAGCGGCTTCACAGTCGGCAGTGCACCTGACCACACCGACAGCAAGCGGAACATCTGCGGTCATCAATAATTCTATGTAGATTATAAAATTCTGGATAGTTCTAGAACAATCTTGATTACAGAATTATTATCTTGGGGTGCCCGATATCGAGCCATTTATACTATAAAGGACGATTATTGTCTGATGTACATTAAAGGAAAACATCGTGAGAAAACTTGCATGTCTGGGAAATAAGAAAAAAAATATTTCGAAGACATGTGAAGTTTGCATACACGCATTGGGGCAGCGTGTCGGACACTTCCTTGCCCTAAAACCCTCTTAGAAATGATATGAGGCCCGTGCCCACCAGTGGGACGTATTTGGGCTGTAACTTTTTACATTGAAACGTATATTTAATCGACTTCAAAAGCGGAGGAAATTCGCAATTCGATATTTAGAGTATTTGTATGTATGTTAGACGATATCTTTTATATTTTATAATGGATAGAAGACGAAGTTTTATTCATCTAGCAGACTTTGATAAACTGTAATTAATACAAGATTTTGTATTCACCTTTCATTCATTACAGTGTAGTATATAAGTAAACTTCTGAACATGGGCTTCCTCAACATACTGCCTTATGGGGTTAGGCCATTGTATGCTATGACAATACTTCATCTTCTTTTTTGGATTAATTTGGACTGATATATAAAACTACATCTAATGATGTTACTTATGTTTAAGATATTTCTGTGTACACTTAAAGCCAAGGATCCATATATCTCAGCACTCGACTTCAGGAGTTATCATGTGGCAACTATTTCATTAATATTCTTTGAAGTCGGCGCGTATTTTTTAATAAAAGTTTAATTTTCAAAGCAATAACGTTAATCAATTGGTCTATTAAACTATTAAAGTTCTTTGCAATTTTATATATATTTTTTTATTTTATATATAGAGGCGTGGTAGCTCAGATGGTTAGCGCTCGCTGTAAATATAACAGAACGCGAGTATTGCGTATAACTGGGTTCGATCCCCGCCGGCAACAATGAAATAGTTAATTGCAATTTTAAGTGCTGATTTACCACGTGCTCGGCGGTGAAGTAAAAGATCATGAGGAAACCTGCATGTCTGAGGAATAAGAAAAAGAAATATTTCGAAGACATATGAAGTTCGCCAACACGCATTGGGGAGGCGCGGCGAACACTTCCTTGCTCTAAAAACCCTCAGAAATGAGGGGAGGCCTGTGCCCAGCAGTGGGACGTAAATAGGCTGTTACTTCTTTACTTTACTTTTCCAATTTTATAAGTAGAAGAGAGGGCAAACAAGCATATGGCTCACCTGATGAAAAATGCAAAATCCGCAAAATCAGAGCAATAACAGATTCGTTGCCGGCTTCTTCCAGTCGGCAACCGCAGTTTTATATTTTATTGTGAGTTGTTACCATGCTGGGGCTACACTAACGGGAAATGTCAATGCCCATAAACGCAACAATTATTGCTTTCAATTTAACTCGATAAAGTCGGTGGCTACACTTAAACGGTCAACGTATTTCAATTTCAATGCCCTTGAACGGCGTTTAAGTTGGCGTTAATGTTCCTTTAAGACTTTTTACATTTGTTTAAATGGGTTCTATATAATTTTGGTTCCATATAAGTTTTATATATTAAACCCTTTAGGCTTTCCTTTTTTTCCTTCTTCGATAGTTGTTTTAAAAGGTAATAATTACATAATTCGTCGCAAAGCATCATTTTGCGATGTACGATACTTAAAAATTTTTGAATCTCGGATCCCACAAACACGGCTCTTTTTGCAGAATTTCAAGAAACGTAATAACTTTTTTATTATTCCGCTCCATCATAGCCATACGTGCGACCCCGTTCATCGTGCACAACGAGACAAACGTAGTGTGGCCGCTACGACGTGTCGTTTCGTGCGTTAATCTCTTTGACGGACCACCACTCGAGTTATCGCCAAATATCAAACGGAATTGTTAGTGTCGTTGTCAAATTATCGCGTTAAGTCATGGCCTAATACATTAACATACATACATTCAACGTCCATCAACGCGATAATTAACGACATTTCTTGTTAGTGTGGCCCCAGCATCAGAGCGATGCTGCTGCCCATCTCGTGTTTAATTTTTCCTCTGTCGCCTCCTACGACACCCACGGTACGATATGAGGTAGTACATATTCTTACACCGTACTACATGGCGGACACATTCATACATTCATATGCGGTTACGGTAACAGCCTTTAAAGGTCCACTGCTGAACATAGGTATGGTCTGAAACTACATAGTATAAAATCATCGACCATCCATTATGAGTGTGATGAAGTTTTAATAAGTGACTATATCTATATCATCCCAAGTTACCGATATAGTCTTTTAAAGTCCCCTGCTGAACATAGGTCTTCCCTAAAGATTGTCGAATAGGGAAAATTTGCCATAGCTGCCACGCTTGGTAAGTGGTTGCCAATCCGCCAAGCGTGGAAACATTTTTAATTAAAAATTAAACACCCACGGGATGATATTTCGATATTCTTACGCAGCTACTACACGGTAAATAATACATACATACACAGGAAAGAACATTAAAAAAAACTCACAATGGCACTGCAACATGCAGCGAAGAATCCTCTCCAGTAGTTTCTGACAGCGAAATATGTCGTCGTTACTTCGATTGAGAACAACACGCCTGCAGGATACGTCATTTTATTAAATTGTGCAATAAAAAATATGACTGGCTGACCCCAAACTAGGGATAGTCTGTATCTTGGGGACCAGGAGTACGGTTATCAGTTTTGTTTACGTAGTTAAAAGTACCTACCCAAATTATCCAAAACAGCAAATTATTTCTTAATTTAGGAACATAGTTTTTAACTATTTGTCGCTTGCATTATTATTTATTTATTACTCCTTGTTAAAATATTGATACAATATTTTTTACTGTAAAACGTAGAGACGTGAGAACTGCAGAAGTCGTTGCGCGAAAACAGACCTGGCTGTTCGAATTAGTATTATATTATGGTAATATATATTTGAAATATATATTACCATAAGGTAGTAACCATGCTACAAAGTATTATATGGTAATATATATTTGAAATATATATTACCATAAGATAGTAAACACGCTACAAAGTATTATATGGTAATATATATTTGAAATATATATTACCATAAGATTATAACCACGCTACAAAGTATTATATGGCAATATATATTTGAATTATTTATTACCATAAGATAGTAACCACACTACAAAGTATTATATGGTAATATATATTTGAAATATTTATTACCATAAGATAGTAACCACGCTACAAAGTATTATATGGTAATATATATTTGAAATATATATTACCATAAGATAGTAACCACGCTACAAAGTATCATATGGTAATATATATTTGAATTATATATTACCATAAGATAGTAACCACGCTACAAAGTATTATATGGTAATATATATTTGAATAAGTTTTAAATATATATTACCATAAGGTAGTAACCACGCTACAAAGTATTATATGGTAATATATATTTGAAATATATATCACCATAAGATAGTAACCGCGCTACAAAGTATTATATGGTAATATATATTTGAAATATATATTACCATAAGATAGTAACCACGCTACAAAGTATTATATGGTAATATATATTTGAAATATATATTACCATAAGATAGTACCACGCTACAAAATATTATATGGTAATATATATTTGAAATATATATTATCATAAGATAGTACCACCCTACAAAGTATCATGGCTCGACCGGGGATCTCATGGTAAGTGGTAAAAGTCAAGGTCACGCGCATAGAACACGTGAATTATCAGCTTTGTTTTGCCGTGTTTAGTATGGTGAGTGTAGAGAACAGGATGCCCATTTTCTTTGGCAACGAGGCATTTCATCTTAGTATTCAGTGGTGATTTCAATTCAGGAAACTGAGTTGAGAAAGATATAGGCATATAGGGACTTCAGTTTTCATTTACTATCATGGAGACTGTATTCTCGTTTTTCTCTATATATTAATACGTGAAAAGAAAATTTTATACCCATTTCTAAGCACAATACGCCCACGGATGAGTATGAGATAAAGTTTACATATAGAGGAGTGCAGAAAGCTAAAACTTATATATAAAAATGGCCTATATAAACATAAAATTAACTAAAATAAAACATTCAATGTTTACGTTTATATTGCCAATATCAAACACATAGTAGTCTGTGATCAAATAATTGCGCATACTACCTAGAGATTGTTGCCGTTGAATAATTATGGCAACATACATATTACATATTATGTAATTACTGACAGTGAATAAAATTATACTAACGGATTTTATCGCGTTTAACTATTTTAACATATTTTTCATTTCCGACTTTTCGGGTGCTTTACAGCACCCATGGTCACGGGAGTCGGAGGGGGGGGACTGAGATGTTTGAAGTCCTAATGTCATAGTTACATTGGGACGTAGTAATATAATATGCATATCAATTTACATTTGTTTTAAATATTAATGTGAAGTTGTAATTGAAATACAGCTTACTTAACACTTTCACTGTCCGATTTTCAGACACAATAGTAAGACAATAGCAACGAACTATAAGTAGAACACTGGACAGCGATTGCGTTTATATACAAACTTCATAATTTAATGATTCACTGTCGAATTTCGACTATATGGCGACCATTAGTTTGTAAAATTATTTGAACTTCTAATAATGTAAAAATCCAAAATATAGTAGAAAAGCGAAACAGACTGGGCGATTCCCAACGTTGACGCGACTGTTGGGGCCTGTGCTATTGTGTCTGTGAACAATAGACGTGAACAAACGGTCAGCGTAGTGTAAGGATGGTATAAGCTCCTACGGCGTGACTTGTTGATTAAGGCGCGCCGTGAGCGCCAGCATGTCGCTGGTGCGCAACTCGTTGCTGTAGGCGCGCTGTTTGAGTGTGGTTTGGTGTGGTGGTGTGATGGTGTGATGGTGTGGTGGTGTGATGGTGTGATGTTGTGGTGGTGTGATGGTGTGACGGTGTGGTGGTGTGATGGTGTGGTGGTGTGATGGTGTGGTGGTGTGATGGTGTGATGGTGTGATGGTGTGGTGGTGTGATGGTGTGTTGGTGTGATGGTGTGGTGGTGTGTGGTGTGATGGTGTGATGGTGTGTTGGTGTGATGGTGTGGTGGTGTTACCTCCGACGGGCGCGGCGAAGCAGGAGGTGACGCCCACCGCGCAGGCGGCGGCCAGCATGTCGCTGGTGCGCGACTCGTTACTGTAGGCACGCTGTTTGAGGTGTGGTGTATGGTGTGATGGTGTGAGGGTGCGGTGGTGTTACCTCCGACCGGTGCGGCGAAGCAGGAGGCGACGCCCACCGCGCAGGCGGCGGGCAGCATGTCGCTGGTGCGCGACTCGTTACTGTAGGCACGCTGTTTGAGTGTGGTTTGGTTGGTGTGATGGTGCGGTGGTGTTACCTCCGACCGGTGCTACGAAGCAGGAGGCGACGCCCACCGCGCAGGCGGCGGGCAGCATGTCGCTGGTGCGCGACTCGTTGCTGTAGGCACGCTGTTTGAGTGTGGTTTGGTGTGGTGGTGTGATGGTGCGGTGGTGTTACCTCCGACCGGTGCTACGAAGCAGGAGGCGACGCCCACCACGCAGGCGACGGCCAGCATGTCGCTGGTGTACGACTCGTTGCTGTAGGCACGCTGTTTGAGTGTGGTTTGGTGTGGTGGTGTGATGGTGCGGTGGTGTGATGGTGTGATGTAGTTACCACCGACCGGTGCGGCAAAGCAGGAGGCGACGCCCACCGCGGCGGGGCGCATGTCGCTGGTGCGCGACTCGTTGCTGTAGGCACGCTGTTTGAGTGTGATTTGGTGTGGTGGTGTGATGGTGTGATGTAGTTACCTCCGACCGGTGCGGCGAAGCAGGAGGCGACGCCCACCGCGGGCATGTCGCTGGTGCGCGACTCGTTGCTGTAGGCACGCTGTTTGAGTGTGATTTGGTGTGGTGGTGTGATGGTGTGATGGTGTGATGTAATTACCTCCGACCGGTGCGGCGAAGCAGGAGGCGACGCCCACCGCACATGTCGCTGGTGCGCGACTCGTTGCTGTAGGCACGCTGTTTGAGTGTGATTTGGTGTGGTGGTGTGATGGTGTGATGGTGTGATGTAATTACCTCCGACCGGTGCGGCGAAGCAGGAGGCGACGCCCACCGCGCATGTCGCTGGTGCGCGACTCGTTGCTGTAGGCACGCTGTTTGAGTGTGGTTTGATGTGGTGGTGGGATGGTGTGATGTAATTACCTCCGACCGGTGCGGCGAAGCAGGAGGCGACGCCCACCGCGCAGGCGGCGGCCAGCATGTCACTGGTGCGCGACTCGTTGCTGTAGGTACGCTGTTTGAGTGTGGTTTGATGTGGTGGTGGGATGGTGTGATGTAATTACATCCGACCGGTGCGGCGAAGCAGGAGGCGACGCCCACCGCGCAGGCGGCGGCCAGCATGTCACTGGTGCGCGACTCGTTGCTGTAGGCACGCTGTTTGAGTGTGGTTTGATGTGGTGGTGGGATGGTGTGATGTAATTACATCCGACCGGTGCGGCGAAGCAGGAGGCGACGCCCACCGCGCAGGCGGCGGCCAGCATGTCACTGGTGCGCGACTCGTTGCTGTAGGCACGCTGTTTGAGTGTGGTTTGATGTGGTGGTGGGATGGTGTGATGTAATTACATCCGACCGGTGCGGCGAAGCAGGAGGCGACGCCCACCGCGCAGGCGGCGGCCAGCATGTCACTGGTGCGCGACTCGTTGCTGTAGGCACGCTGTTTGAGTGTGGTTTGATGTGGTGGTGGGATGGTGTGATGTAATTACATCCGACCGGTGCGGCGAAGCAGGAGGCGACGCCCACCGCGCAGGAGGCGGCCAGCATGTCACTGGTGCGCGACTCGTTGCTGTAGGCACGCTGTTTGAGTGTGGTTTGATGTGGTGGTGTGATGGTGTTGTAGTGTATGTGCCTCCACCCTACTAGGATATGTTAATAAATGTACTTACTCTTAGGTTTAAGTGACAGTATAATTAGTCTTGAGTAGAGAAACACGTTTCCTTTCATTTACCAACCGTTCAACATTACATGGCGACCCTGCCAGGCGGTGCGCGGCGACAAGGCACGCGCACCGCCGCGGCCTGCACAAATAGTTAAAGAAACATGGAAAAATAAATATAAAACTAAAGGAACAATTTTCAACTATTGAATTGACACTACCGGATGTGACAAGTAAGCCGAAACGGAGACATAAGAAGAGGCGACAAGGTTATTATTTCTTTAAGGAGATATGCTAATAAAACCTATTAGAAAAAGAAGAAAAATGTTACGAAAAAAAACGGGAACGATCAACTTCAGAAACAAATATTATGACAGCTTCAAATATTACATGAAGATTAAACGAATTAGATGGTGAGACCACAAATTTAAGATAGAAGAAACTTCCTGCAAGCCTTAACCGATAAGAAGATAGAAAAATTGAGCCGAAAAGAACAAATTATGAGGTAACTTCGCACCTATGTGATTTTAATTCTATTTCAAACTTTATTTAACAATTTAAGATTGTTTTTTTTTGCTATTATGTTTTTAAAGTTAGATATTAAATATTCTGTATTTTACATATAATTAAGTTGAAATTAGTTATCAGATTATTCACAATATACTTTATTATCAAATATTTTAATACTTCCAAAAAAAACAATTATAATACAGTATTAAAAATTAAGTTGAATTTTAAGCACTTATGTGGCACTTCTATTAAGGCGCCAGACCAGACTTTATATTCTCATTTATGAAGTTATAGTTTTGTATTATTTTTTTACTGTGTCCTGCCCAACAATTAATGAAATAATAAAATAATAGATTCCAATTTTACACACTTGATTTAAAATAACACTGTGATACATTTCGTTGATTTTTTTTTCTCGAATCCAAATTTTAAAGGGTTAGAAACATTTCACTATCATTATAAGTTTTAATTTTTTTTAAAGGCATTAAATCTTAAATTTATATAATAACTTATGTAAAATATAAAAAAACTTCCTTTTAAATGTTTGAATAAATTATTGTATCATTGTGTAAAGGTGATAACTCTAATAATGTGATTTTCAATTATTCTGTATACACGACATAATAAATAACATACTTTCAGTAATATTTTTCGATCTGTATAAAAGCGATATAGCTTTTAACGATGTAACCATGTGGACTTCTGAATCAATAAGAAATTAAAAATATTAGTTTAAGGTACATTTTTTTTCACTCGCACTCATTTATATGAGTACTACTACTTATGTAGTAACAAATTGTACACGTTAAGTTGACATTAGGCACGATCATACGATGCGATTATTTTAACGTTTATTATCAATTATATTTTTCATATTTTCTGGCTAAAATAACACTTTTATTTCTTTTGAAAGACAAGAAACTAGTTAGGTAGGTAAATACTCGTACAACAAGAGTCAATCTTTACACAGTGAATATAAAAGGTCTGCTAACCATTTCTTACGAATGATACTGATGTTTCTAAAAATATGATATTATAAAATGTTATGCAATGAGCGTATCCTATAAAAAAAACATGGTAACATAGATGATAAATTTAAACTGAACACAGCAACATGCAACACATTAACAGGTGTAGGATAAATCATAACAACATTATAATAGCGATAAAAATAATAAGTATAGGAAAATAAATGAGTAAATGATAATAGTATTGTTACAGAGATGAAAATAATAAATAAATAACGGTGTAAACAGGAATAAAGTAGTTAAGAGAGGTTTTAATAATAATGGTTCAAAAAAAAAAGTTAAACACCGGCAAAGAAAATTTATTGATAAGAATGTTATCTCATTTGTACAAAAATTAGAAAGCATGTAATTGGTATGAGGAACGGAAGAATGTTCGAACGTGTAAATACGAATGATTTAGTTACTAAGTTATGTCAATATTGGACTGATCACCCAAATATTGATGATACTTAAACTGTGCGACTTGAAATGTGTGAGAATGATGCAAGTTAGTATATAGAAGTGGGGCACGAAGGTATATAAATAAAGAACAAGGTAATGAAGAAATAAAGAAGGAATAAATATTTATGGCAATAATAAAAATAAATAAAAATATCACATTGACCAATAAGTAATGGAGAATGAATGATGATGAATATGGGAACGTTCAACACTGGTATAGCGTATAGTCCTCGAGCAGGGTACGTTTCCGTGATTGGACGATGAAATCGGAGTAACGGGTACTAGGGAACAACGCCTTCAGCACAAGTGACGTAACTGAGTTTACTCATATTAGTACTGTTAGGGACCAGAGAAGTCTTAAATTTGTTACCCTTAATAATGGTACATTGAGGTCACATCCTTCGTTGGATCATGGTGCGAACGTAGTTTTCCTCAGTGACAATTGTTGGAGTCCTTTGAAAATGACTTAAACGTAGACCTCAAGGTTGTGCGCACAACCCAAGGTACACTTTTACCTTGATATAATTACGATAAAAAGTTATGTACCATTAAAATGAAATGAATGTTACGAAAATGTAATATAATACCCAAATAAATGGGGGTACAATATGTATGTGTATAAAGTACCCGCATGATAAATATCATGAAATGAAATATAATTGAAGTGAATTGAAACTCCGGTTCCCGATATTTAATAAATAAATACATATATGCGTGAATAGAGAGAAATAAAGCTAGCTAAAAGTCAAAATATAAAAAAAAGAGAAAGTACGTACAAGATTTATGAAAAGAAATGATAATAAAAAGGCCTAACAATCTACAAAAGTACAAGGTAATAAGGGGATCCCCGACCAAATCCATAGGGTTGGATAGATGGTTATTTTGCATTTCTATATTAGGACTATTAACGCTGCCCAAAATGCTACTAGCAAGTTGCACATATAACAGTTATAGGGTTCGATTCGCACAACTACACGTAAACAAATAAAAATATATTAACCCAATATAAGTACACTTTCGCGTAAATTTATATAAATTTACGAGATTTTTTCATATTTAGGCACATTGATTCGTATTTACAATGATTCTACTTTAAATAATTTTTTTCGGTCTCATGTTTTCTTATGTAAAATGTGTACAATTTTGAACTACATTTATATAAAGCTTATTATAATCAAGTTCAAAGGTTATCGATACACTATTATTGTAAATTGTATAATGTAATCGTTTTTTTTTTCTATAAAAAAAGGCAACGAAAACCTAAAATTGTGACACCTGCTTGAAATAAAATTGGCTTTTCCAATGTAAATAAATATTTTGTAAAAAAAAACTTTAGCTGTGTGCCTAACAGTGTATTCTCTTTTTTATATAAATTTCTGTCCCAATTAAGATAAACGTATTTCTTAGAAGTAAAAGTAATATTTTATTATTAACAACAGCCTACAGCAACTAAGTATTTTTAAATATCTGTTCCAAGTTTTAAGGTATATTTTACTTGCATTCATATTATAACATATTATGGAAGTTACTTAATGTTAGGTATGAATCACCACACCTTGTGATCATAGTCCGATGTAATTGCAAACGTAGCCTTATACGTACCTACCTACTTAGAAATTTAAAACGTAGGTGTCACAAACCGCTTACGCGACTGGGATTGCAAGTTGTATTTTGATTCCCGTTATTGCTGATAGCGATGATATTTGCGTTGCATTACATTATGTTTTTGCTCTTTTCATATTTAAATGAAATGTAATATTATCGGTGTTATATTCATTAAACCTGCAAATCACATGCTTTAACTTTTATAAGTCATTAATATCTGAAAATCATGAAAGCAATAGTTAAACAAATATAAAGGTATAAATAAATTAAATATAAAGTATATACAATTATGAATACAAATGTGAATAAATATATATAAAGGTAGAGCAGGTACTGCTTAATATGAAATGTAATAGTTTATTTTCAGTTTTATATTGTTTGAACTTTTAAACCATAACTTCTAACTAGAACATATAGTTAATGTAATAAATCTCGAGTAAAAATAAATGTAAAAAAAAAATATTAATAAGTATATGGTATGATAGGTGGTATGTTCATGTTAACGTGCAGTTGTGACATTGATTAATATCAAAAATACGACAGGCTTAATGTCGTACGAAATAAAAATGTTAACGAAATAAAATCGCATGCGTATCACGGATTGACTTAATAATATGATTATGTATAACCATGGTATAATCTGATCATGATCATGAGATTATAATTTTTTTTAAATGAAGTTAGTTTTATATTTTGTTGAACTACGTTATTTTATTCCAATTAGAAATTATATACATTTAAAGCCTATGTAACATTGTATTTTATTTTAATCTTCAATATTAAAAGATTAAAAATAAATATTAAAAATTATTCAATATTAAAATTATTATTATGTTATAAGATTCATGAAAACTAAAATGTAAAAAAAAAGTAAATAGAGAACTTTCCTTTTTTTTTTTAAGTATCGGGGGAGGTGTAGTGTATGTGCCTCCACCCTACTAGCATATGTTAATAAATGTACTTACTCTTAGGTTTAAGTGACAGTATAATTAAAGTCTTGAGTAGAGAAACACGTTTCCTTTCATTTACCAACCGTTCAACATTACAGTGTGATGTAATTACCTCCGACCGGTGCGGCGAAGCAGGAGGCGACGCCCACCGCGCAGGCGGCGGCCAGCATGTCACTGGTGCGCGACTCGTTGCTGTAGGCACGCTGTTTGAGTGTGGTTTGATGTGGTGGTGTGATGGTGTTGTAGTGTATGTGCCTCCACCCTACTAGCATATGTTAATAAATGTACTTACTCTTAGGTTTAAGTGACAGTATAATTAAAGTCTTGAGTAGAGAAACACGTTTCCTTTCATTTACCAACCGTTCAACATTACAGTGTGATGTAATTACCTCCGACCGGTGCGGCGAAGCAGGAGGCGACGCCCACCGCGCAGGCGGCGGCCAGCATGTCACTGGTGCGCGACTCGTTGCTGCAGGCACGCTGTTTGAGTGTGGTTTGATGTGGTGGTGGGATGGTGTGATGTAATTACATCCGACCGGTGCGGCGAAGCAGGAGGCGACGCCCACCGCGCAGGCGGCGGCCAGCATGTCACTGGTGCGCGACTCGTTGCTGTAGGCACGCTGTTCGAGTGTGGTTTGGTGTGGTGGTGGGATGGTGTGATGTAATTACATCCGACCGGTGCGGCGAAGCAGGAGGCGACGCCCACCGCGCAGGCGGCGGCCAGCATGTCACTGGTGCGCGACTCGTTGCTGTAGGCACGCTGTTTGAGTGTGGTTTGATGTGGTGGTGGGATGGTGTGATGTAATTACATCCGACCGGTGCGGCGAAGCAGGAGGCGACGCCCACCGCGCAGGCGGCGGCCAGCATGTCACTGGTGCGCGACTCGTTGCTGTAGGCACGCTGTTTGAGTGTGGTTTGATGTGGTGGTGTGATGGTGTGATGTAATTACCTCCGACCGGTGCGGCGAAGCAGGAGGCGACGCCCACCGCGCAGGCGGCGGCCAGCATGTCACTGGTGCGCGACTCGTTGCTGTAGGCACGCTGTTTGAGTGTGGTTTGATGTGGTGGTGGGATGGTGTGATGTAATTACATCCGACCGGTGCGGCGAAGCAGGAGGCGACGCCCACCGCGCAGGCGGCGGCCAGCATGTCACTGGTGCGCGACTCGTTGCTGTAGGCACGCTGTTCGAGTGTGGTTTGGTGTGGTGGTGGGATGGTGTGATGTAATTACATCCGACCGGTGCGGCGAAGCAGGAGGCGACGCCCACCGCGCAGGCGGCGGCCAGCATGTCACTGGTGCGCGACTCGTTGCTGTAGGCGCGCTGTTTGAGTGTGGTTTGATGTGGTGGTGGGATGGTGTGATGTAATTACATCCGACCGGTGCTACGAAGCAGGAGGCGACGTTCACCGCGCAGGCGGCGGCCAGCATGTCGCTGGTGCGCGACTCGTTGCTGTAGGCACGCTGTTTGAGTGTGGTTTGATGTGGTGGTGGGATGGTGTGATATAATTACATCCGACCGGTGCGGCGAAGCAGTAGGCGACGCCCACCGCGCAGGCGGCGGCCAGCATGTCACTGGTGCGCGACTCGTTGCTGTAGGCACGCTGGTTGAGTGTGGTTTGATGTGGTGGTGGGATGGTGTGATGTAATTACATCCGACCGGTGCGGCGAAGCAGGAGGCGACGCCCACCGCGCAGGCGGCGGCCAGCATGTCACTGGTGCGCGACTCGTTGCTGTAGGCACGCTGTTTGAGTGTGGTTTGATGTGGTGGTGGGATGGTGTGATGTAATTACATCCGACCGGTGCGGCGAAGCAGGAGGCGACGCCCACCGCGCAGGCGGCGGCCAGCATGTCACTGGTGCGCGACTCGTTGCTCTGAGGCACGCTGTTTGAGTGTGGTTTGATGTGGTGGTGGGATGGTGTGATGTAATTACATCCGACCGGTGCGGCGAAGCAGGAGGCAACGCCCTACGCGCAGGCGGCGGCCAGCATGTCACTGGTGCGCGACTCGTTGCTGTAGGCACGCTGTTTGAGTGTGGTTTGATGTGGTGGTGTGATGGTGTGATGTAATTACCTCCGACCGGTGCGGCGAAGCAGGAGGCGACGCCCACCGCGCAGGCGGCGGCCAGCATGTCACTGGTGCGCGACTCGTTGCTGTAGGCACGCTGTTTGAGTGTGGTTTGATGTAGTGGTGGGATGGTGTGATGTAATTACATCCGACCGGTGCGGCGAAGCAGTAGGCGACGCCCACCGCGCAGGCGGCGGCCAGCATGTCACTGGTGCGCGACTCGTTGCTGTAGGCACGCTGTTTGAGTGTGGTTTGATGTGGTGGTGGGATGGTGTGATGTAATTACATCCGACCGGTGCGGCGAAGCAGTAGGCGACGCCCACCGCGCAGGCGGCGGCCAGCATGTCACTGGTGCGCGACTCGTTGCTGTAGGCACGCTGTTTGAGTGTGGTTTGATGTGGTGGTGGGATGGTGTGATGTAATTACATCCGACCGGTGCGGCGAAGCAGGAGGCGACGCCCACCGCGCAGGCGGCGGCCAGCATGTCACTGGTGCGCGACTCGTTGCTGTAGGCACGCTGTTTGAGTGTGGTTTGATGTGGTGGTGGGATGGTGTGATGTAATTACATCCGACCGGTGCGGCGAAGTAGGAGGCGACGCCCACCGCGCAGGCGGCGGCCAGCATGTCACTGGTGCGCGACTCGTTGCTGTAGGCACGCTGTTTGAATGTGGTTTGATGTGGTGGTGGGATGGTGTGATGTAATTACATCCGACCGGTGCGGCGAAGCAGGAGGCGACGCCCTACGCGCAGGCGGCGGCCAGCATGTCACTGGTGCGCGACTCGTTGCTGTAGGCACGCTGTTTCGAGTGTGGTTTGATGTGGTGGTGTGATGGTGTGATGTAATTACCTCCGACCGGTGCGGCGAAGCAGGAGGCGACGCCCACCGCGCAGGCGGCGGCCAGCATGTCACTGGTGCGCGACTCGTTGCTGTAGGCACGCTGTTTGAGTGTGGTTTGATGTAGTGGTGGGATGGTGTGATGTAATTACATCCGACCGGTGCGGCGAAGCAGGAGGCGACGCCCACCGCGCAGGCGGCGGCCAGCATGTCACTGGTGCGCGACTCGTTGCTGTAGGCACGCTGTTTGAGTGTGGTTTGGTGTGGTGGTGTTATGGTGTGATGGTGTGATGTAATTACCTCCGACCGGTGCGGCGAAGCAGGAGGCGACGCCCACCGCGCAGGCGGCGGCCAGCATGTCACTGGTGCGCGACTCGTTGCTGTAGGCACGCTGTTTGAGTGTGGTTTGATGTGGTGGTGGGATGGTGTGATGTAATTACATCCGACCGGTGCGGCGAAGCAGGAGGCGACGCCCACCGCGCAGGCGGCGGCCAGCATGTCACTGGTGCGCGACTCGTTGCTGTAGGCACGCTGTTCGAGTGTGGTTTGGTGTGGTGGTGGGATGGTGTGATGTAATTACATCCGACCGGTGCGGCGAAGCAGGAGGCGACGCCCACCGCGCAGGCGGCGGCCAGCATGTCACTGGTGCGCGACTCGTTGCTGTAGGCGCGCTGTTTGAGTGTGGTTTGATGTGGTGGTGGGATGGTGTGATGTAATTACATCCGACCGGTGCTACGAAGCAGGAGGCGACGTTCACCGCGCAGGCGGCGGCCAGCATGTCGCTGGTGCGCGACTCGTTGCTGTAGGCACGCTGTTTGAGTGTGGTTTGATGTGGTGGTGGGATGGTGTGATATAATTACATCCGACCGGTGCGGCGAAGCAGTAGGCGACGCCCACCGCGCAGGCGGCGGCCAGCATGTCACTGGTGCGCGACTCGTTGCTGTAGGCACGCTGTTTGAGTGTGGTTTGATGTGGTGGTGGGATGGTGTGATGTAATTACATCCGACCGGTGCGGCGAAGCAGGAGGCGACGCCCACCGCGCAGGCGGCGGCCAGCATGTCACTGGTGCGCGACTCGTTGCTGTAGGCACGCTGTTTGAGTGTGGTTTGATGTGGTGGTGGGATGGTGTGATGTAATTACATCCGACCGGTGCGGCGAAGCAGGAGGCGACGCCCACCGCGCAGGCGGCGGCCAGCATGTCACTGGTGCGCGACTCGTTGCTGTAGGCACGCTGTTTGAGTGTGGTTTGATGTGGTGGTGGGATGGTGTGATGTAATTACATCCGACCGGTGCGGCGAAGCAGGAGGCAACGCCCTACGCGCAGGCGGCGGCCAGCATGTCACTGGTGCGCGACTCGTTGCTGTAGGCACGCTGTTTGAGTGTGGTTTGATGTGGTGGTGTGATGGTGTGATGTAATTACCTCCGACCGGTGCGGCGAAGCAGGAGGCGACGCCCACCGCGCAGGCGGCGGCCAGCATGTCACTGGTGCGCGACTCGTTGCTGTAGGCACGCTGTTTGAGTGTGGTTTGATGTAGTGGTGGGATGGTGTGATGTAATTACATCCGACCGGTGCGGCGAAGCAGGAGGCGACGCCCACCGCGCAGGCGGCGGCCAGCATGTCACTGGTGCGCGACTCGTTGCTGTAGGCACGCTGTTTGAGTGTGGTTTGGTGTGGTGGTGTTATGGTGTGATGGTGTGATGTAATTACCTCCGACCGGTGCGGCGAAGCAGGAGGCGACGCCCACCGCGCAGGCGGCGGCCAGCATGTCACTGGTGCGCGACTCGTTGCTGTAGGCACGCTGTTTGAGTGTGGTTTGATGTGGTGGTGGGATGGTGTGATGTAATTACCTCCGACCGGTGCGGCGAAGCAGGAGGCGACGCCCACCGCGCAGGCGGCGGCCGGCATGTCACTGGTGCGCGACTCGTTGCTGTAGGCACGCTGTTTGAGTGTGGTTTGATGTGGTGGTGGGATGGTGTGATGTAATTACCTCCGACCGGTGCGGCGAAGCAGGAGGCGACGCCCACCGCGCAGGCGGCGGCCAGCATGTCACTGGTGCGCGACTCGTTGCTGTAGGCACGCTGTTTGAGTGTGGTTTGATGTGGTGGTGGGATGGTGTGATGTAATTACATCCGACCGGTGCGGCGAAACATGAGGCGACGCCCACCGCGCAGGCGGCGGCCAGCATGTCACTGGTGCGCGACTCGTTGCTGTAGGCACGCTGTTTGAGTGTGGTTTGGTGTGGTGGTGTGATGGTGTGATGGTGTGATGTAATTACCTCCGACCGGTGCGGCGAAGCAGGAGGCGACGCCCACCGCGCAGGCGGCGGCCAGCATGTCACTGGTGCGCGACTCGTTGCTGTAGGCACGCTGTTTGAGTGTGGTTTGATGTGGTGGTGTGATGGTGTGATGTAATTACCTCCGACCGGTGCGGCGAAGCAGGAGGCGACGCCCACCGCGCAGGCGGCGGCCAGCATGTCACTGGTGCGCGACTCGTTGCTGTAGGCACGCTGTTTGAGTGTGGTTTGATGTGGTGGTGGGATGGTGTGATGTAATTACATCCGACCGGTGCGGCGAAGCAGGAGGCGACGCCCACCGCGCAGGCGGCGGCCAGCATGTCACTGGTGCGCGACTCGTTGCTGTAGGCACGCTGTTTGAGTGTGGTTTGATGTGGTGGTGGGATGGTGTGATGTAATTACATCCGACCGGTGCGGCGAAGCAGGAGGCAACGCCCTACGCGCAGGCGGCGGCCAGCATGTCACTGGTGCGCGACTCGTTGCTGTAGGCACGCTGTTTGAGTGTGGTTTGATGTGGTGGTGTGATGGTGTGATGTAATTACCTCCGACCGGTGCGGCGAAGCAGGAGGCGACGCCCACCGCGCAGGCGGCGGCCAGCATGTCACTGGTGCGCGACTCGTTGCTGTAGGCACGCTGTTTGAGTGTGGTTTGATGTAGTGGTGGGATGGTGTGATGTAATTACATCCGACCGGTGCGGCGAAGCAGGAGGCGACGCCCACCGCGCAGGCGGCGGCCAGCATGTCACTGGTGCGCGACTCGTTGCTGTAGGCACGCTGTTTGAGTGTGGTTTGGTGTGGTGGTGTTATGGTGTGATGGTGTGATGTAATTACCTCCGACCGGTGCGGCGAAGCAGGAGGCGACGCCCACCGCGCAGGCGGCGGCCAGCATGTCACTGGTGCGCGACTCGTTGCTGTAGGCACGCTGTTTGAGTGTGGTTTGATGTGGTGGTGGGATGGTGTGATGTAATTACCTCCGACCGGTGCGGCGAAGCAGGAGGCGACGCCCACCGCGCAGGCGGCGGCCGGCATGTCACTGGTGCGCGACTCGTTGCTGTAGGCACGCTGTTTGAGTGTGGTTTGATGTGGTGGTGGGATGGTGTGATGTAATTACCTCCGACCGGTGCGGCGAAGCAGGAGGCGACGCCCACCGCGCAGGCGGCGGCCAGCATGTCACTGGTGCGCGACTCGTTGCTGTAGGCACGCTGTTTGAGTGTGGTTTGATGTGGTGGTGGGATGGTGTGATGTAATTACATCCGACCGGTGCGGCGAAACATGAGGCGACGCCCACCGCGCAGGCGGCGGCCAGCATGTCACTGGTGCGCGACTCGTTGCTGTAGGCACGCTGTTTGAGTGTGGTTTGGTGTGGTGGTGTGATGGTGTGATGGTGTGATGTAATTACCTCCGACCGGTGCGGCGAAGCAGGAGGCGACGCCCACCGCGCAGGCGGCGGCCAGCATGTCACTGGTGCACGACTCGTTGCTGTAGGCACGCTGTTTGAGTGTGGTTTGATGTGGTGGTGTGATGGTGTGATGTAATTACCTCCGACCGGTGCGGCGAAGCAGGAGGCGACGCCCACCGCGCAGGCGGCGGCCAGCATGTCACTGGTGCGCGACTCGTTGCTGTAGGCACGCTGTTTGAGTGTGGTTTGATGTGGTGGTGGGATGGTGTGATGTAATTACCTCCGACCGGTGCGGCGAAGCAGGAGGCGACGCCCACCGCGCAGGCGGCGGCCAGCATGTCGCTGGTGCGCGACTCGTTGCTGTAGGCGCGCTGCAGACGCGACACGCAGCGCGACAGCAGCGCACCCACCATCGACGCGATGTGTACCGATGGACCCTGCCCCCCGAAATGACCCAATCAAAGTTTAATATCTTGGCATAGGTATGAAGTTTGCCAAGTATTCCTGGCCGAAGTGAATTAATGTCTGCCTATGAGTGCGTGTGGGTATTTACCACTTAATTATCTCCTGCTGCCGCGAAATAGCAGTACTTGCACTGCTGTGTTCCAGGCTTTTCATACTCTACAAGGATAAAAAGCCGGTATATTACAGACCATAGATATAGCATAGGTATAGCATATACTATATTGGCGATGGAGTGATTAGACTAAAATCAAAATACACCAATGTGCGTGAAATGTGCATGTGTGAGAGACAAATAGTGCTGCACCATGCACTGCCTGCCCCATATTCAATTATCGATACAGATTGCAGTATAACAGTGTTTTTGGTTTAACGCAGATGATGTAAGTGAATTTTTTTTCCAGAGACTGTGCATGTATGTATGTATCAACTGTTATCTCAGATCTTTAAAACTAATTATCGTATTTTGACAAATCAGATATCTTTAGAAGCATCGTATCATCGCATTATACCCTTTCACGGGCTTTAGGCCGGGGACATATAAGTGAAATAAAATAAATATGAAAATATCGTGTCTGATATCCTGAAGAAGCTTTAATTCGGAATGTTCTCGACATTAAATAATACTCGAAAGGAAACGTGTACTAAAAGGATATTAAATAAGACAACGATATCAATTATTTAGAATATTGTCAAACAAATTCAGACTTTACCTATTGCTATAATTTATAATTAAAATAAAAATGAGTTTATGTAGCCGTAGTGACATCTTTATTCTAAAATAGATGTCTTGAAAGTTGAGGTTTAATTTTGATTTTTTTTCATTATGTATTAGGGATTAAAAATGAACTTACAAAAAAACTTTGTTAAATTTATATCTTCATTCAAAGAGAAGTAATTTATTGAAAAAATGTTGTGAGCTCTCCCTAAAGATATTTTGCAAATTTGCTACATATGTACTTAATTATAATAATAAAATTAGTTCACATCGATAACATGTTTTCGATATGCCCCTAACTGAGTGTCAATCTTTAAAACGTGAGGTTAGAATAAGAAGGATTTCACGTATTTCTACGCGCGTTTTTGCATTGCCAATCTATTCTAACGTCAATTTATAATAAGTCTATATTACAGACTGTGAGGCATTACAACTTAGTCCTCAGAGTTTTGTCCGTTTGAAGTTGGCTGAAGGTGCAGGCACGCTCGCACAGAGATTTTTAGTTCAAACATATTTAATTTGAGCGTACAACGAATTTAAGGGAGAATGTATTATACATATCAATGTATTTTTTTCTCTTGCCCCATCCTTCAGACCAACAAAGCACTGCAACCTGCTGATTAATTGGACGAGGCTCTAGCAAATAACTGATAAAAAAACGCCGAACCCATTGTACAGACTTGTGTGTAGTTGGGGGGCGGGAGGGGGGTAACAAATTTTACGTTTTGTTGCCACAGCAAATAAATTCATAGTAACCTTTTAAAACACCTTTGAACTGGAGAAGCTGAGGGGTTAGGCGATACCATTGGTACCACATAAATTGTTAGTTGCCGTTTCAGCTGCCGATTTTCTACAGGTTCAGCGGTAAAGGAAACTAAACGAACTGAATGATAAATAGGAACACATAACTCTGACAAAATGAGAGAAAGCCTGTAGCCCGTACACATACGTGGTAGAGTTACGATGCAGTTACATTATGGTTGTAGCACGCATGGGTCAACTCGACCGGGGAAGGAACACGATCTCACTGAATACCAGCGTGCAATAGCAATTTCATGTTTCTGAGTTTCGTATGGTGAGTGTAGAGAACCGTGGCATTCCATCTTAGTACTTCAATAAGTAAATGTGCATCTGCATTTTGATTTTCAACTGAAGATAGGTGTAGATGTCTGTCTATAGGCCACATAATCTACTTGCCATCAGGTGGACTGCGACGTGTTTGGAGTAATTTTGATTATAAACTAATTACAAGTAGATTCTAAAGTGACGTTCATAGTTCACTTAGTTATTTACCTCTTTACCCAGAGGGAGACCAGAGCCCAGGGTTGCGGTGAGTCCAATAACTTTGGATATAAGAGCTCTGAATGTCAGGTACTCCTTCAAGTGTACACCACGGAGAATTGTCTTCATTTCCGGTATGCCGGACCCTGAAAATGGTAACTTGTGACTATAGTTACTTACTTAAACTTCATCACATTCACAATGAACAGTCGTCACCCGATGAACTTATACTATGTAGTTTACGAGCTTGAACTTCAAATACTCGGATGATGGCGTAAGGAGAAGTAGATCGATTTATTAAAACAAAAAATTCTCTTGAGTGGCGGCCACGTACAGGCGGAGTAAAGAGCGACCCTCACGATAAAGTAACGATCTGCTATAACATCTCTATATATAAAAATAATTGAAGTCCGTTAGGCTCGCTAAAACTCAAAAACGACTCGACCGATTTTGATGAAAGTTTTTGTGTGTATTTGAATGGGTCCTTAGATGGTTTATATTACTGTGGCCGTGGAAGGAAAAGGGGAGATCTCCCGCAGGGCAAGTTGTTCCGTCCGCGGAGCAGCCAACGCTCCGTGTGATAGTTCGGAGCTATTCTATATATACTGTTTATGAATCTGAACTTTGACAGCGCGATTTAAGCTTCGATGTGTTTCGCTTGTGGCGCGACGACAACGCCGCAACATTACATTTAGACCCGGCAGGTGGCGCTGTTTTCAAGATCCAGAAATCAGATTTATGAAAAAAAAAAAACAAGTGATCCGGTAGTTTTTTTTTATAAATCTGAAGTGACCAACCAACTTACAATCCACCTGATGGCAAGTAGTGTAGTCCGTGGACACTTGCAACCGAAAGGCTACAGATGCGTTATCATTTCTGAGGGCTTACATGGAATGCCTTGGTTGGAATCCTTTATTTCGTCATAGATTGTAAGTAAAACAAACGTTAACATAATGTTAGTATAAAATAATAGGTACTTATCCTACATTAGTATCTTTACCTACACCCAGCCTCACATAGCGAGACCCAGGTGGGGTTCTGCTGGTGCTGGTGTGTGCACCATTCCAAGTCCTCCAGAGAGGACTGTCCAGCTTCACAGCCAATGTGCTGAGAAGGGTGTTGGAGCTCCTCAATAGCCGTCATGGACGCGGCACGCTTGCGCACGATCGCGTAGAAGGCGTCCACACGAGCATCCGCAAACATAGCCGTGACGAGGGCTCCTCAACATCACCCTCAGCACATTGTTGTACTGAACACGCAGATCACTGTAGGCTCGCTGCGTATAGTTAGTCCACAGACTGTACGTATGAGAGAATTGGCAATACGTCAATAACAATACAACCAATAACAAAGTTAAGTTGACTGCCCCGGACCGACAGCGCTCGGCGCTCTAGTTCAATGTCGCTGTCGTCGTTCAGGCGTTCAGTTACAATATGTCCGAGGTACCTAAACTCAGCCACTTGTCTCAGAGCAGTCCGACATAGCTGGATACGTGGTTCGAAGTCAAGTGGTCTATAATCATGCTGGCCCTTTACACCCTTCAGACTGGAACACACCAGTGAAAGCACTACTGTTTGGCATCAAAAGTAGGCAAGAGCATGGTACGTAACCAGACGGACTACATACAGTAATGAGGGTAGTACTAGCACTTACGTGCACGAGATCGACAGTTACAGGTGCCTCAGGACCATGTTTCGTGGCAACACTTGGAGACAGTTCAGTTGTGGACTTGTTGATGGCATCTAATGATTAGAATGAACCAATAAAAAATTTGAAAAGCAGATTTAACTCACCTATACTCTGTGCGGCGACAATATGAACAAATCCAGCGGCGAAAAGGATAAGGCAAACGGGCAGCGATACCCAAGCCACGTATTGACTGAACGTGGATGTAGCCAAGTCCCGGTACATCCACATTCGAGCTGTAATTATAAAGTGAAGAGTTTCAACATGGAAACTATTGCCAAAAGGTTCATGTAAAAATTAGATTTGCAACGAATATTCGGCTATAGCTCGGTATTCGGCATATTCGGCTAGTTTTGTCTTATTCGGCCGAATTCCGAATAGTTAAGCAAGACGTTTTGTATTAGATTTAATGTTAACTTGCAAGCAGATAATCAGGTAGTGGTTGGCAAATCTAGCATTAATTACGCTAGCAACCCAGGTTCGATCCCCGCCAGTTCCAATGAAATTATTAATTGCAATTTTAAATACTACTTTACCATGTGCTCGGCGGTGAAGGAAAACATCGTGAGGAAACTTGCATATCTGCGAATAAGAAAAAAAATTCGAAGACGTGAAGTTCGCCAACACGCTCTCAGAAGTGAGAGGAGGCCTGTGTGCTGTAACTTTTCCATGATAGCAAAATGTACATTTAAATTAATACTTAGTTTTAAGCACAACTACATTAAGTATTAAATACGCTAATATAAATATGAAATTATTACCTCTTCACGCATAGGAAAGCATGAAAACAAAGTTACAATAAGATTAATGCAAGACAATTAAGTGAATGATTTCTTAAATTTACGCGAAAACATATACATTGAGTAAAACTATATATATACGGATTTATCGCGTTTAGTAAACTTTTTTTACTTATTTTTTAATTCCCAACGTTTCGGGTGCTTTACAGCAATCTACGCAGAACGAGCTTACAGTATCTTGATGTCTTGCAGTGGTATGATTGGGTTTGGATATAATTTTGCAAGCCTACCACTGCAAGACTTCAAGATACTGTAAGCTTGTTCTGCGTAGATTGGACCAAAATTTAATATTGGAAAACTGAAGGCAGCCGGGCAACTATGACATTTGGCCGTCATACTACATCTTAGTCCCCCCTCCTCCCTGTAATCATGGCATGGTAAAGCACCCGAAACGTCGGGAATTATAAATATAAGTTAAAATAAGTTAATTAAACCCGATAAAATCCGTATATTATATAGTTTTTATACAATTAAGTGAATTCCGCGTAGTGTAAAAGTTAGTAAAAATCGTGGATGCACTCAAAGGTTGCATCACATCACTAGGAATGAGGTGAAATATTTTACAGCTTTCATAGAGGGGGAAGTTAATTTGTTCGAAAAAATTAAAGGTTAATGTTTCTTTCTGAAGTAGAAATTATATTTTATATGAATTGCTTAGAGTTTAAGAATATCAACTCACCATTATTACAGACCGCGATGCCTCTGTCCATGGCGAAGTTGAGCACTGCCATGATGATCCCGAGCAGCGCCAGGAAGATCCAGTCCTCTCCCAGCCGCGCAAACGTGTGCCACCATACGTAACCTGTAGCACACTTCATATCATTGCCTACTTTACCACTTGGAATACACAAGGTATTTTTACTGAGCAGGGTGATAAAGATCCTTTCAACTGAAGTACACACCTACATTTTGCACATCTACGTTATATTTTTATCTCTACTTCACCCAAAGGTTGACTGGTAGGTAATTCCTCAGGCATTAAGTCCGTCTATACATGACGTTGTACGATGTTAAATAAATAAATACATCAAAGAAAATGTATAGGCCATAGGTGCATACGCCTACAGCTGGCCGTAGGCCTCTTATTTCGCAGATATGCAGATACGTGGTAGAGCCACGCTGCTGTTATTCTATTTTATGATTATAGCACGAATGTGCTTACACGAACAGCTTAAAATAACAGCGGTGATTGTAGAGATCAGGAGACTCTTTTAACTGAAAACGAGGCACTCCACCTTAGTCTTTAGGGGTGACAACGCATAATATGCATTTCGATTCTTAATTGAAGACAAATAAAGATGTCTATAGGTCACAGCATCCATTAGGTGGATTGTGTGCTCATTTGTCAACGTTATTCTATAAAAAGAAGGTTTCCTCACGATATTTTCTTACACCGCCGAGCTCGGGGTAAATCAGTAATTAACATTTTCATTGGTTCCGAATCCAGGGATCGAACTCGAGTTGCTCGCGTACTGTGAAATTTACAAAGGCCAGATACTTTGGAAAGATTAACCTACGTTTTCAAATAGAATAAGGGTGACAAACGATCACACAGTTCACGCTTGATGGTAAGTGTGACCGTAGGCACCTAGATTTATCCTCGACTAAAAATTAAAATGTAGATACGTTGCCACACCTGAGGGCTAAGATAGGATGCCTTCTTACCAGTAAAGGAGGTCCTCAGTTCTCTACACTTACTACTTATACGAAAACACAACAGCATTAAGCTGCTATTTAAGACGAAACGTCCTCGTGCTACAATAATAACTGTATAACTGCAGCTTTGCTCTATCATGTAGACACGTCTTTGTATTGTTTTGAAATCTAACAAGGATTTAGATCGAAAATGAACCGATAAACTTGGCAAAATGTCGTTGTGCTGATCTTATGTAACAAAATTTTTCATTTAACAAACTGTTAATTTAGTGCTTACACAGATGTTATATAAATTGGAATATACACGTATTTCTCCGAGCATATTCTTCGATATAATATGATATGACGAGGTGGCCGAGTGGTTAAGGCGTTGGACTGCTAATCCAATGTGCTCTGCACGCGTGGGTTCGAATCCCATCCTCGTCGATAAATTTTGTAAGTTTTTCTTTTATAAAATAATGTAGACAAACGAGCACACAGTCCACCTGATAGTACTCGTAAGTAGATGTTGTGGCACTAGACATCTACATTTATACTCGATTAACAATCAAAATGCAGATGCGTTGTCAGCCCTGAGGGCTGAGATGAAATGCCTCGTTTCTAGTAAAAAGGGTCTCCGGTTGTCCACACTCACTATACGAAACAGCAGCATTAGGCTGCTATTTTACGCTGGTATTCTGCGAGAGCGTGATCCTAGCTCGGTATTTTTTTCTGGTATTCTGCGAGAGCGTGATCCTAGCTCAGTTGAGTGGACCTATTCGTGCTACAGCCATAATATAGCTGCAGCGTGGCTTATAAAACTCGTGTATTCGTTTGTCACTCATATTCTATTAAAGAGGAGGACGATACCTCCCCAGATTGACTTCAAGGCAGAAAAGACTTACCCACCTAGGTCTATTTTGTCTGGTGACCTTTATTGTTATCTTATAAAGCTTGAGAGGATATAGATGCAGGTGGCTCAGGACCGAACTTTGTGGCAACCTATGAGGGAGGGCTATATTCAATAGTGGACTAGTAATGTGCCTTAGTAGTATTTCAGTTTCATATACTCAAAACATGCACATTAAAATTCAAAGTCAATAACTTTTTATTTCATTCAGGCTTGTTTAAATCTCTTATGAACAGTGGCCGACCGAACGTCCATTTCTGGCCGACGCTGAAGGCTTATAACCTTACGAAATTCAGTTCAAAATTGGTTAAATAAATAATGTAGGTGATTTTAGAACTTTTATATTAAGTTTATATTCACTGTATAATATAAGAAAGTAATTTTAATAATATCTAGAAATTGATCGAAGAGATGATAAAAATTGCTTCGCCACGTCCCTCATTAGTAACAGTATATTAATTAGTATAGTTGTAGCACGAATGGGTCGGCTCGACCAGGGAAGGACCACGCTCTCACACAATACCAGCATAAAATAGCAGCTTAATACTGTGGCCCATAGACGTCTACATTTATCTTCGATTAGGAATTAAAATGCAGATGCGTTGTCACAACTGAGGACTAATATGGAATGCTTAGTTTCCTGTAAAAAGGATCTCCGGTACTCTACACTCAACATACGAAACACAGGAATGTTGAGCTGCTATGTTGCGATGGTATTATGTGAGAGCGTAGTCCTTCCCCGGTCGAGCCAACCCATTCGTGCTACAACCATAATATAGCTGCAGCATAGCTCTACCACGTATCAAATGTCCTATGTTCAGCAGTGGGCTTATAATAGGCTGTAAAGCTGATGGTAAGCCTGATTTGGAATATCTTTTAGAACACAAAACTATTCTTTATAATTATTTTAATTTCATGTAAAATACCAACTCACCTAATACTTTAAACACTTTCCCCCTCGGTCTGTGCTTTCCTGTTGCTTCAAGTTCCTTCTGTCGAAGTTTGTCTTCTTTTAGTCTTCTTTTTCTAAGTCTTCTTAGTCGTCTAGCTTCTTCTCTTGCGGCTTCACTTAGGTCGCGTTGATAGCGACCATACATCTGTAAAAGAAATTGAAAAACTTTATAATTAATTATATGATAACCATTGAAGTAATATGTACTTACGTACTAGAACAGCTATTTCAAACAAAATATCTGCGCTACTCTGTGTTCACGCGGTTGTTTTTTTATCATAGAATAAACATAGGTATAATGATCAGTAGGTAATAATAGATTGTATTGTTAAATAGGTAAATTATATCGAGAATAATTTTCAAATTTTTGTCATTTATTTTGTATGTTATATTCGCTTATTTAATAAATATTACATAATATTATATCACAATTACATTTTAATAATATTTTTATCTGAATATTTTAAAAGGTATCTATGTAAAATATAAAAAAACGTACTAAATGTATGTTTAACAAAACTTATTAATATTAAATTTAAATTACAAATATATTTATTTAAATTAGAATAAGCGTCGTTCATAAATGCTGGGCACGCGAGAGTTAAAAATGGATGAATTTATTCTACTTTGATTTTGAAGTGGAAATCTAAAAATAAAATAAAAGAATAATGAGCAAATTTAATTTTAAAAAAAATTGGCCTATTATGATAACTCATATATGTTTCTACAAAAAAAAATGTATATAATAATATATTCGTCCTATAAGTACCCACAGAAATGTCGCATCTGAACAAATTAATTTCATAATCTATATTACATGACACAAGATGGCGTCTTAGGAATAATTTGTTTTATTATTAAGTTATAATAATTTTTTATTGATTAAGTATCTTATTAACCGATGAAAAGTAATACCTTGGTTTTTACTGACATTTCTTGAATTATTTGTGCAATATCTAAGTACACACGACGGCATATTTTTATCAAGAGATTTTTTTTTAAATCAACACAACACGTGACAACTCTACAAGCGCCTAGCGAGTGACTGATTAAAGTGCGGTGTATGCACCGCAGTTGAGTGGAACAGAGTAGCTGAATGCAGTGTCACCTCTAGTATGTAGTACATAATAGCTCAATGATGATAACTGTCGGTACGTTTGTTAGTGATCGTGTAATTTTAGAAAGAATTGACCGCTTGGCCACTTGAGTACAAATATAAGAAATAAAAAAAAAACAATAAAAACCCGCAACGTCGTGAATTAAAAAAATAAAATTAAACGCAATAAAACCCCGTTAAATTAGTTTTATTTAACAATAAACTTTGCACTGCATGCCGTTTGAAAAGATAGTTTCTAGAAAATACAAAAATATTAAACGAATTATATTTTGTTATGTGTAATTCACTTTACTGCGCCTAGATAACATATTTTTGTGTTCTGTTGAACATGACATCGTTTGAACATCCATTCGATTGATAATCCCAAAAAATTTGGCGAAACAAAGAACAAAACAAAATCATTTGCCCGCGTCGTGGCGATGTAAGAATATCCTCTATCCACAGAAATCTCAATAATTATTATTTAGATTTCTGTGCCTCTATCCCATATCACCCCGTGCCCGTAGGTGAGGTTGCATTTGTTTTTAATTTCTTTATAACTAGTAGGTTTTAAATTTGATAAAATTTTAGCACACGCTTTTCTTATTAGCTTGACCTGCATAAATGTATCGTAACGTCATAATTTACTTGTGACCCACTTCCAGACGTCTGAATAATCTGTAATTTCGCAGACGTATTATGGAATCGATGACATTACAATAATTTCAAACCTATGACCTAGTATTCTCATTAAGGTGGCGACTGACATGAGCATTTGTTCCGTGAATATTTGCACCGAGATTTTGTTGAAAGCAATATATATGGTATCATGATACCTTAATCTTCGCAACGAATATAGATATACATAGGCAGATAATTTTTCATTGCATTTGAACAAAGTTATTACTTATTACAATTACGGAAAACTTATGAACTACAAATGGTGGTCATATCGCGAATATTTGCCTTTATTATAAGATAGGGTGACAAACGAGCTCACAGTCCACCTGATGGTAAGTGGTTGCTGTGGCCCATAGACATCATCTAGACATCTACATCTATCTTCGATTACAAATCAAAATGCAGACGCGTTGTCACCCGTGAGAACTAAGATGGAATGCATTTTTTCCAGTAAAAATGGTCTCGACTGTGCTCCAGCAGTAGTCAAAATACGCAGAGGTAGTTTGTGCTGGGTTCCTTTAATGTAAAGTAAAGTAAAGGCTGCTCTCGGCGGTGCTCGCGCAAGCTACTGATTTGTAATGTATTCAAAAGGTTTCGCCAAAAAAAAGAAACCCGGGTGAAGCCTGCTCGACTCGCGTCACTAAGCTGTTCCGTTCGCTGTACTGACGTGTTGAATATTCGTCTTGTAACGTGCTCACATCGAGCAAATGCTCATGTCAGTCGCCAGCTATAGGATCATCACAGTTCATGAACAGTGCGTGTTATTGTAGTTTTTTTTTAACTCTTTTAAATAGTTCTTTTTAATGATACATTTGACATTTGGAACTATTTGTAGACAAATTAAAATTTAATTACATAACAAAGGTTAGAGTATGTGTTGAATTAATTAAACGAGTTAATAATAGTGATATTTAAGATGTAGGTATGATTGCCAGAGTTTCATTTTACAGTGAATACCTGCGTGAAATAGGATCTTAATGCTGCTGTGTTTCGTATGGTGAGTGTAGAGAACCGAAGACCCTTTTTACTGGAAACGAGGCATTCTATCTTAGTCCATAGGGATGACAACGCATCTGCATTTTGATTCTTAATCGGGGATAAAAGTAGATGTCTATGAGCCACAGCATCCACTTACCATCAGGTGGACTGCATGCTCGTTTGTCAACTTATTCTATAAAAAAAAACTTTGCAGTTGCAGATCTGTAATAATAATTATTAATACCTAGTAAGAGTGACTGGCTTCCATACGATAGCATTTCAAAAATACAAAATAGAGATTGTATTTATTTATGTATTTTACTAAAGAGGTAGTTTGCAAATTAAAAATGTTTAATTAATAAAAGCCACATTGATATATGGGCCTATTGACAGAACAAAAACTTTGAATATTTATCTCCACACTAACGATCTGTCTCGGCTTCGCACGGGTGTTATCTGGATTTTACAACAGCGACACCTACCGGGTACAGTTGTACCCGGTAGGTGTCGCCGTTGACTTTGTTGACCGCGAAGTTTGTAGGCATAGTTATGCCTACAACCTTCGCGGAAGTGCAGAAGCAACATGTTGACAATGGCTGCGTTTGGCAGAAAAAAGCGCCAGCAAGCGCTTGTAAAATGGCGATCGTAAGCGGTAAGCGCTGTCAAATCGTAAGTAGCTATTTTCCTCCAGGACACGATGTTAGTTTTAACCGGGGAACCTAACCTAATTTAAATATATGTTTGTAAAGTATTCATATTAAAAACTTACCAATCGTGAATTTTTAATAACATGTATATGTTTATTCATGTCATTATATTACTTAAAACTAATATTGCACAAAACCACTCATAAACTCTACTTCATAACAAACAAATTAAATAAGCAAAATGGCAGATTGTATTAGCGCTACTGAAGTAGCAATCGTGTCCTGGCCGAAAACTATTTTAGCGCTTGTAAGCGCTTGCTAGCGCTTTTTTCTGCCAAACGCACCCAATGTTTTACCGCAATTTGATGAACGGTATGGCAGCGGATAAAATACGAACGCACAAATATATTTTTTATATATTTGATATATAAAAATCAATTGCTCCGTTAGTCCGTTAGTCTCGCTAAAACTCAGTTTTCTTCCTCGCACACCTTCCTTGTGGAATCGACTACCATCAGAGATTTTTCCGGACCGATACGACTTAGGGGCCTTCAAGAAAAGAGCCTACTCGTTTTTAAAAGGCCGGCAACGCATCTGCCATCCCCCTGGTGTTGCAGCTGTTCATGGGCGGCGCTAATCACTTACCATCAGGTGAGCCGTACGCCCGTTTGCCCCCTCTCCTATTAAAAAAAAAAACTCAAAAGCGATTCGAAGGATTTTGATGAAAGTTGTCGTGTGCGTTTGAGTGGTTCTGTCGATAGTTTAGATTGGACCCGGTAGATGATGATGTTGTAAGAGATCCAGAAATCACCCGTGTGAATCCTGGGCGTTATCATTAAATTTAAGACAGTAATACGCACTGACTTCGTGTGAACCCGATTTTTTTTTAATAGAATAAGTGACGAGCGAGCACAGTTCACCTGATGGTAAGTAAGAGGATACTGTGGCTCATAGACATCTCCGTCTATTCTCGATTAAGAATCAAAATGCAGATGCGTTGAAACTTCTGAGGACTAAGATGAAATGTCTCATTTCCAGAAAATAAGGTAACCGGTTCTCTACACGCACCATACGAAACACAGCAGCAATATTGAGCTGTTATTTTTTTATTAGTATTTGTTGGCATATACAAAATGGATGTAGTCAAAATAAGTCTAACAATTATTTTTGGTAAATACATTTTTATTAAGATTTTTGACTTAGATGCTTGTCCTTTAAGGACGCGTTTACAAAATGGATAGGTATAGAATCGCACTACTACATTGACAAAAATCACACACACACACTAGTGTACGCACGGTTGGCTGTGGGAATCGTAGTCAAATGAAATTATTTTGATAATTTGAAAGATTGAATTTGTTTTTCATTTCTTATACCTACCTCAGAAATATACTTCGATACGAAATATGAATACCTGCTCCAAAGACTGCTTGGCACTGGAAGCCCTCTACTGGTAGTGAGATGTTAGCTCTGGACTTTGAACTGGTTTTGTCAGTTATAATAAGACCTTACCTACCTGCGGACTTGATGGAGTGACCTGAAGGTGCAATTTGGTGATTACAACAATAGGAACTCCTAGACTAGTGGAACTAGGTGTGCCGAGTTTGGGCTCGTTTTGTTGGTTATGATGAGACCTTACCACCGGACTTGATGGAGTGACCTGAAGGTGTAATTCGGTGATTACAAGTGGAACTCCTAGACTAGTAGAACTAGGTGTGCCGAGTTTGGGTTGGTTTTGTTAGT